TCTCACTATAATAGTTAAAAACTAGATAACGTAAAGGCAATTTGCTGAAAATTTCATTCAAATTGATCCACTATGAACCGAAAACTAAGCGAATGAAATTTCTGCCTAGCCTCGGTCATCATTACTAAAGTCAGTACGATAAACAGCATAGTCTCGATTATCTATTTAATCGCTTAATCGAGAAGGAAAGTTATGCAGTAAATCGGCTCACAATCCACTTAAGATCGCAGGCTAGCGATGCCATCTAGAGTTGATTATGGTCTGGATAAGTTAATTAATGTCTAATTAATAATTTAGATAACATTTCAGGCCTAAAGAAAGACCTGCAATAGACAGATTTAGCTCTTGCATAATGTATGTTTAAACAAAGAGTTATAATTTGTAATTCCCGATTAGAGCGAGTTTGTGGCCCGAATCATTCCCAGTTATTGAAACTTTTAAGGTAAAATGCAATCCCAGACCAAAATTGATGTTAAGGATATAATGCATATTTTCGGAAATTGGTGGGTGTAGTAATTGAAGCTCAATGTATCCCCCTGAGAATATTTTAAACATTTTAAACATTATTAATCCATTAAAGAAACATTATGGGAGATTAGATAAAGAGCTGCCAGTTCTCACTATAATAATTAAAAACTAGACAATGTAAAGGGAATTTGCTGAAAATTGAATTTTCGGCCTAGCCTCGATAATCATTACTAAAGTCGGTACGATAAAAAACATAGTCTCGATTATCTAATTCATGATTAAATTATTGGAACCTAATCCAATAAACATCGCAGGCTAGCGATGACATGGAGAGTTCATTATGGTCTGGATAAGTTAATTGTATAATTTATAATTTAGATAACATTTCAGGCTAAAAGAAAGACGTACAATAGGCAAATCTAGCCCTTGCATAATGTATGTTTAACTAGGTCTGATTAACAAACTTTGGTAGTTCTATTTTCTACAAATATCTTTATACGCTTTAAGAATAAAAGGCACACATTCCTGAATAAGAGAGAGAGAGAGAGGGGGGGGGGGGGTAACGTCCACTCGATACACGCTAGAGCATTTCGGGACTTTTATTTCAACAATTCTATTGCGCATAACGGTTTTTAGCAGTGGGCGTTGGGGTGGGTGACCCTACTCCTTGTCGCTAAAAACGGGGAAATGAAACCACACCACTCGACTCGATGACCGACCTTCCTATATAACACCCACGCGCTAAACCATTCGGCTATCTAACACCCCTTTCTGAATAAGGGTTTTGGTGAAATAATCATGCTTCTCCTCTTTTAGGGTGTCTGTAAGGCAGGATGTTTGATATCTCTATGTCATAATTGTTAATATTTCATTCACATTCAATTTTGTTACATTGCTATTTTCATCTTAGAGTTCAGCATCATACGTAATTTTCCGATTCGCTATTGATTAATAAGTTCATTAGAGGATATATATATATATATATAGATCATGGATAAACATACATTATGCAAGAGCTAAATCTGCATATTGCAGGTCTTCTTTAGGCATTAAATGTTATGTAAACTATTAATTATACATTAATAATCAACTCCCAATACCATCTTATGTGTCCGATTTTCGTTGGACTTGAATCCATCTGTTGTTTAACGCCCATTGATGATTTACCTCAAAAATGGATAATCGAGACTTTGTTAATCATCGTGACAGCTGTAACAATGACAATCGATGCTACAGTGATTTCAATATAAGATTTTCTCGGCTTAGAGTGAAGCAATTTGACTGAAATTACACAACAGTAAATGTGAACAGTGACGAATTCTGGAAAAAGTAAGCCAGACCCCCAACAATATTGTTTGCTCAAAGCGCTGACAAAGTCTACAGGAAATAGTTATAAATATGAACACTGAAACAGGTAGGTTTTGATTTTTTTTCTATCCGTAGTTGTAGTGGTACAAAGTCCCATGTATGTGCTGCATTATAGGCAAATTATCTGCTTTCAGGAGATCTGGGGCGACCGCCAAGAAACTCAGATAGCAACTGACGGATTCTAACGGCCCAACAACCAGCATTGTTGAATTGGAAATATGATCCGTTTGGGTATCTTATTGAATCGGATTGAACTGTGGGCTTAAATCTACGCCCGAATCTGAATATTAAATATACGCCTGAATCAAATAAAGTTTAATCAATTGTGATCTGGATTATAGGCTAAGAATATTTTTCTGTTGATTCAGATCACAATCACTAGATCCATCGCTGCAGCTGTGCGTAGCTGTACGATACATTGCCCAAGGCGGATTTCTGGCAATGGTAGGAGATGTTCACGGTGTTGGTCCAAGAAGGTCAAGTCGGTACATTCACATTGTTGCTCAGGCGATTTGTTACAGATTGGACCGCTTTATTTAATGGCCCGGCGCTGATAATCAGCGGCTGGAACAGGCTTTTAAGCCATTTTGGGATGTTTAACTGTTCACTTGGGTTTCTTAGTGTTCAGTGATGAATTGTCTGTGTGATTATGCACGTCGAGATCCAGGAAATCTAAAAAATAGCTAATTTGAGGACCCTAGCACTGTTAGCCATTGCACTCCGACAGACTATCAGAATTTCTACTGTCGGTCGTCCAACGGTGTATATGTGCGGCCAGCCAACCTATCTCCGACAAACTTTCGCCCGATAGCGTCCTGACAATCGTTTCTAGGCGACCGCCCCTGTTTATGGTCGCGACAGTGGACTGTGTCAACACGTGGGGGATAACACTTTCTGACTATTTCCAAGACGTGTATGTCCATGTTTAGAGGCATCCAAATGGTGAAAATGATATTTTATTTTGATCAATGTTTATACCAACACGCTCTACCTTCAGTCGATGTTTTGTCGTCAGTCAGTTCCCACATGTTGTTGGTCATCGTGCCTTTAAAGAAACAAAGCATCGCACCACCGTGTTAATAATATCATGCTGGTTCTCGAGGGAGTATTGATCAGACAACTGGGTGTCATCAGCATACAAATGATATAGAATGCCTGATGTACTGACGATGCAGCCTAGTGGCTAAGTGTAGAGGGAGAATTGAATAAGATCGGCCCAAGCACTAATCCTTGGGGAACTGCGCAATTTAATAACTTGCGCTCAAAATTGGAGTCCCCAATATTAACATATTGTTGGTGATCTGAAGAAAGATAGGATCTAACCACCGAAGAACTAAGCAATCAAAGCTAAATGAAGACGGTCTATCAACCGTGAGTGGTCAATGGTGTCAAAGGAGAACTAACAGAATTATTCCGTTATCTACCCTACCACGCAAGTCGTTGACGGCACGGTTCAAAGTTTTCTCTGTGCTATGGGCTGTTCTATATGCTGACTGAAAAGTATCTAATAAATTATATTAATTCGAGTGATCATTTATTCTAGAATATTTGAGAGAAAGGACAAATTAAACACAGGTCTGTAGTTACTAAAACAATCGGGATTGGGGCCTGCCTTCTTTAGGAGTGGTTTTACAACTGCAGTTTTGAGTGAGCTAAGAACAAAACCTTCCCCAAGACTTGGTTTAGAATTTCATTTGCAAAAAAAGAGGTGTAGCAACTAAATTTACAAATATTGCCAGGTGAACGCCAAAAACGTTCCGCTTGACGACGTTCTATTTTTTGCCAGTTTTACAACATCAAAATACCAGGCAGAGTTTGCTTTTCTGTGGTTTTTTTCCTTTCCACTATAGGTCCATGTTTATTTGTAATGTCGCAAAGGGTAGCCTTGTAAAGTCAAATAAGTTCATTGACACCAGAAGGTGAATTGGTATATAATGTGGATAAAAATTATACCATTTACGAATTCTGCTCCAGAAATAGACTTTATATTACGACATCTTGTTAAATTGCAGGGTTGAGTATCTGATTTGTATCAAAATGTATCCAATAATGATATTGAAACTGTACTGTCGATTAGAATGTCACAGATTCAGATCTCTATTCTTCTCATTAGGTATTAATATTTATTTACCGTTAACTATTTTTTATTGAAAGAAGAAATCTTTGGGACATATTATATTAATTCAGCTTTTCAAGACATTTGATATTAAATAATCATGAGCTATAACATGATCATTATTAAACTTATGCTGCCTGACCTAAATTGGCGACTGTCTATATTTTAAGAATTTTGAGAAGGATTTATTTTGCTTAACTTTAATATTATTGAAAAGGGTTATTTAGTCTTTGTGTGTATGACAGATGTGAAAAGGGGTAGAATCGCAGAAGAAAAAAGAATATGCCGTGTGGATATGGCGGCCATTTAGGACAGAGATCTGCCCATTGACTTCAATGTTAAATGGCTGTAACATAACAGGCTGTAGCTTTTTGCTCAACATCCCGTTGACTGGGGTGAAAATCTCACTTCCGACACAATGATTGCTCTGCAAAAGGACACTTTACACCCCCTATCCCTCCGCTGTAATATCATCAGTATTACCCAAAACTGCCATGAAATTGCAAATTTGATCCCTTTTCTCCAATTCTAGACCAAAAAGTCAACCCAAAAATGTAGGAAGAGGGGAGAAAAAAATTAAGGGAAAAATTGTCTATTTATAACTCGCACTACATTCACCACCATGAAATAAGAGGAAATAATGACTAGTCTTAATCCATCTATTCTGGAAGTAAAGTAGAGAGTTCTCTGTGTGCAGAATGATAATAACTGGGTGGTATTTATTCAAATGTATTCAAACAACGTTGTGCAAACGTGTGTGTGTCTATTGGAGGGAAGTGTGTAGGACTATAATTATTATGGTCATTTATTTAATTATCTTTAGTAAAATAGTTAACTCTTTCTTTAAATTTTACTTTTCATATAGCAATCTGAATAAAAATATGTCTGAAGATGTCTGAATTAATTATAAAAGGATCTCAATAAAATTTTTGTAATTATAAACACCTGCATCAAGTAAACACAAGTTTTATATTTTCGTTTGGCGTGCTCTTCTCTGGCTCTTGTAGATACAGGGTTTTAATCTAGATAAACAATAACACAGCATTAATAAATAATACCAACTCTTTATTTAATACGTGTACATTTAATTATTTTATTTATTTGGCTTGAGCAAACATCATTCCAAATCTCACAGGGTTAAGTTATCAATCAATCAATCAAACAATCATAAAATAATAATGATAGTAATAACAATAAACAATAGCAGTGATGATAATAATATTTAACGGATTATTTTCCATTGTTTATCCATCAATAACAACATGTACGTATTTTATTCTTATATAGACATTACACGATATTTACGGTAGACATTACTAACATAACATTACTTATATATTTATGATATGAGGTATAAATTTGTTATTATCACTGAAGTGATCTTCAATTACATTGCCCGTCTTTATTAGTCCGGCTGTAGAAAAATTGGACGTTAACCCCCATTTCATTTCCATTTTCATTGTCTTTTATTAATGATCTTTATCATTGTCTTTTATTAATGATCTTTATCCGACTCAAACAAGCACAATCGATGCAACAATTTATCATTGACTTTATTAAAACAATAACAGACTTGTAATGCCCATTTAGTTCTCCTAACGAATGTATTTACCAAATGTCGATTGATGACACACTCGCGTAATAGGCCTAATTGTCCTAATCAAAGATGATTATTCCTATATAGTACAAGGTTTTGATTGTATCCAATTGATGCGATATGTATTTAAAAAAACTGATGTATCCTTGGCACAGACTAAAAGTTAATGTTTTTATACAATTCACATCTAACTTATTATAAACGTGAAATAATCACAATAAAAACGATTGTCAGAAATTGACGTGGATAGTCCAAACTATACGTGATTGTGTCTTAAGCTATCTGGTGTTCGCTGATTTCGGATAATCCACACAAATGTGAACGTTCGTGCTAGGTTCCACCCATAATTATAAATAGATTAGCAAAGTGTGCGACGGGCGGTTTTGTTCACTTAGGTCATAAAATATCCAGATTCGAAGTTGTGTTATCGTTGATTTGCTTCTCTCCTAATAACCAATAAGTAGTTTGTGTTCCCTTTCCCTGGAATGGAAAAAGGAAAATAAATATTGGAAGTATTTTTTTATTATTTCGCTAGATATAAGGTGCGATGCTTTTTGGAAAATAAATGTGTGTATGTTCGGTTGGTGAGAAAGTCAAGGACCTACACGGTCTCTGATAATATGTGAACGTCATCATACATGTTTGACTGTCACAATTCAAAGAAAATAGACGGATATGCGAGGGTTAAGAATTTGTTTTAACTGTATCATCCCATATTCTAGTACACGTATTTAGACTTGACTGGCTTGTATTTCAACAACTATGATAGTACTATATGGGCAAGGCCCCGAGCATGACGTCATCACTGACCGTTTGTACCTTGGTTGTACATCAGCACTCTGTATTATGTTAAGTACGTTATTTACAAAAGGATCATGATTATTTGAACATATTTTGCTTTGATAACAACCTTATAATAATTGACATGAAAATTCAGCTATCAAATATATTGCATCCTTTCAAAAATTATATTTTCAGGATACGATTTTAAACGAATTGTTCAAATTCTTGCGAAAGAGTTTGCATTTGGCACTACCTTAGGGTATTCATGTTCCGTCACTTGTTTCAAGAGTACGAGACACGAGCACATAGTTTGTCTATAAACCAATGAAGAAATGCGTTGTACGCAAGGGCGTGGATTTGTCATAATGTTGTTGGGGTTTTTTTTGGGGGGGGGGGGGCGAACCCTGGAACATGGAGTATTTCATTACCAAGCTAGCCAAAATAATAATTACGAACAGTTTACCTTACCAGTGTTATTTCGATGAAAGCTGTAACTAGGGGTAATATGATGACGATATGTAAAAATTATTATTTGTTCATGAACTGAAGTGAATCGTCCAAAGACGCTCATTCTACGACCAGAACTGTTCTTAATGAATACCTTGGCGACAGGATTTGGGCCCTGATCATAAAGGAGGTCATTATGCACCGTACACGCAATCAGGTGGTTCAGCCGATTTTGCTCCATGGAGTTGTGCACAGAGTGCTGAAGGATCGCTGGGCTGAGCAGGAAATAGCAGGGTTCAGCAGTGTGAGACGGGGAAGAACTTCGATAGAAGGGAACATCTGCCTCACTTCAGGTGACATACTGAGGAACAGCTTCGTGCACAAGTGAAATAGATTTGACCGAAAACTGGCAATTGTTGTTGCAAGTCCCGATTCAGTTCCGGATACGTAGGAACAAGCTCACCAGCATTTCTGTTAATAATTTACCGTAGTGGGCCAAGTCAGTCGAGGTGAAATAAACGTCAAAATTATTCATGGCTGCATCTAGCATTTTCAAATATTGCCAAGACAGTGGTTAGATAGCCTTCAGAACGGGACATTCATGTGGATATAAACCTGAAATTTTGTCCTGGCGACGATCAAAATCATGCGGGGGGAGGGGGGCAGATACCAATTCGTCCCCCCTTCCGATTCTAAGGGGGGACGCCCCCCCCCCCCAAATCCACGCCCAGGGATGTACTGCAACTGGTCGACTTATAACTAGTTCGCCGATTTACAGCCTATCGAATGTTTTATTCAAATTGTCATAGATGACGACAACTTTTACACACAATTTTAGGTTACATGTACCTTCATATCAACTTGACCTCTAAGTTCAACTTCAAAACTACCAAACTGATCCAATATGTCCTTGGTCTGTGTGCTCATGTGAATCTTTAATGCTGAAATGTTAAGATTATTGTATAAACAAAATACATTGAACACATATTGATTGTATTTTCTCGCTTGTAGAATTATCATTAAGTTGTTCCTTAAAATACCCGGAGTTGTTTCCCTTGTATACGATTTTTCATTCCCTTCGTGCTTGAAAAATTGTTAGCACGTCCCTTCAATAGGTAGCATAAGTGTTTGTTTTTTCTGGTTTGTTTGTTTGTTTTTTATAAAGCTAAATACTACTACTTCATTCATATGGAAGGATAACGTTACCAATATTATTTCAATGTTCACGGTGCAAAATGCAGATCTCAGAAGTTCAAAATACGTATTTTAGTTTTACAATTTGCAATTTCCATTGCTCCACAATACCAATGGCACAGGTGTTAAAATACAGAATACATTTTTCAATAATACTATATACAATACAATAGTTATTTGCACATTACACTTCTCCATTCTGCATTTTTCATAAAAGACAAATGTATAATTGAACTTACATGTAGCAGATTAGAACATTTATCTTATATGAGATCTACGACGAAGCTCATTTGTATACGAAAAAAAGTTTGGACTTGGACGGAAAATAAATAATTTACGCGATCAATCTACAACGACAATGTCAGTAAAAGGGGGCGGTACTCATAATATTTACAGAGAGAAAAGAAAAATGGGATTTTAACGCCCACTCGACACAAACTAGGTCATTTCGGGGTTAACATATTGTTCAATTTTATTTCTATAATTCGTTTGTACATAGGGGTCTTTAGCCGTGGGTGGAAACCGGGGGACCCGGAGAAAACCCATACTCCTTGTCATGTACAACCAGGGAATCGAAACCAAACCACGTTAGTTGTCATATTTACAGACCATCGAAAAACGATCAAAGAAATGAAATGAAATGGGGTTTAACGTCCTACTGTTCTGCTCCGACTCGGCTACAGTACTCTTATATTGAATTCGAACTGCCAAGGGATCTTTTACGTGCACACTAATGTGTACACGGGACTTCGTTTCTTCGTCCCATCCGATTGATTAGACAGTTGTACTTGTCAGGCCCTCCGTCCTGTATCACTGACAAGGGGAAAGAAAAAAGATCAAAGTCGGCTGGTATGAAACGCTATTAAATGACATGGGGGGGGGGGGGTAAAGTAAACATTCATGTACCTGTCTTAATACGAATTCTAGATATCATGTTACGTATCACTAAAAGGCACGTTTATTTCTTTTTTTCAAATATTTAAATAATTCTCTGGCACATTTATATTTACACACTTTGAAAAAATAAAATGAAATGAAATGGTGTTTAACGTCCTACTGTTCTGCTCCGAATTCCAACTGCCAAGGGATCTTTTACGTGCACGACAAAGTATTCACGGGACCTCGGTTTTTCGTAACATCCGAACGACTAGACAGCTGTCCTTGTCAGGCCCTCTTTCCTGCACCACTCGACACAAACTAGGTCATTTCGGGACTAACACATGGTTCAATTTTATTTCAATAATTCGCTTGCGCGTAGGGATCTTTAGCAGTGGGAAGAAACCGGAGTACCCGGAGAAAACCCATAAGGTTGGACAGGCGACCCTACTCCTCGCCACGTACAACCAGGACTGACAAGGTGAAAGCACGTAGGAAAATCCCAATATACTTCTCTGGGCCAATGCAATGATCGAACACGCGACCTACACTACAGGCTAGCGAGCAAGCGTCTTACCCACTTAGCCACCATGGCTCCCTACTTTGAAAAAAAGATATAAAGATTAAACTTGAAGTGAAGATGGGGGGGGGGGTATAAAGAAAAAAATGTAAGGATTATCGAAGGCTCGGATTAGCCATACCGAGCGCATGATTTCACAGAAGTCATGGTCATCCATCGAACTCCTTACTGCATGCTAGCGTCATTCGCTCTTATTGTATGGTAAGCCGACTTATTGTATGGCGACTTATTGTATGTCAGTTTGATATCTGCACATTGATCTTATAGATTGATTGCGTAAATTTTTAGTTTCCGTCATAGCCCGGACTTTTTTCCGTATGCAAATGAGCTTCGTCGTAGATCTCATATAAGGTATATGTTCTAATATGTTAAGTTATATTATGCATTTGTCTATTAAAAAAAATGGAGAATTGAGAAGTGTAATGTGCAAAATAACTATTATACTCTATTTCTATTATTGAAAAGTGTATTCTGTATTTTAACACTGGAACAATGGTATTGTGGAGCAATGGAAATTGCAAATTGGAAAACGAAAATACGTATTTGGAACTGCTGACATATGCAGTGTTTGTACTGTGAACATTGAAATAATATTGGCAACGTTATCCTTCCATACATTTAACCACCAACGCTAGTCCATAGCTAAGTGGGACCGTTGGAGGTGGGTTGTTGGGACGGGGTGTGTGTGTGTGTGTGGTGGAGGGGGGGGGGGGCTTACTGTTTACCATAAGCAGACTTTGATTCTAAACACTCTGAACTATTCAACTGCAGACTACTTTTTATTAGTAAACATTCTAAACTGACACTGCTTCTAAATTATTGACTAATTATGAATTTAAATACGAGATGGGTACAATCAAAATAATGCTGTTTTGGGCATGTACAAGCCTTAAATGTCAATTAAAACGCGTCGGCTCCTCCCCCAATCAAAATCTTGCAGCCTGGCACGTATCGGCGTCTTGTCGTTCTGGTGGGACTTAAACCGAGATGCCGTATACATGTTGGCGGTTGGAATTCGAAGTAAGAGTAGGCAGAAGCATCGCTGCCATGGCAATATTTCCCTCCTATTACACCGCATTAGCCAAGATGAAGCAGAAAAAATAAGTACTTAAAGCCTAATTTCATTTCATTTCCTAAAAATATTTCACTCACGTAATCCGTTTGATTCCATTCTAGAAGCTGTATTAACAGTATCACCAAATAAACAATAACGAGGCATTTTTAATCCTACTACACCAGCTACAACAAATCCTGAAAAATATAAAATAAAATTATATTAAAACAGTTATCCCCCTTCAACGCAGCCAAACATGTTATGCAGAAGTAAGTGCATAATTAAATCATGTCAAATCAAGAAAGATCGTTTGACCAACTGACCAAGACACACAAAGCGTAACCCGTCTTTAACTCATCTAGGTTATAGATTTTAAACACAATCGTATGACGCATGTAAACAATAATCAACGTAAGTTTGAGTTCCACAACGTATTTAATTGCTGTTTAATACTGTTAAGTTATTCATAGATTTTCTATTTTATTGCCTAAGTAAAGTCTATAGACAATCCCCGAAAGGTTAACCATGGAAAGATCGACCTTTATTATCCCATAATGGTCAAATCTTTTAGTAGACAGATTGCTGTTTGATGGCCCACAAAGAGTTGAAGCGATCTAGACACAATAGTTCGATGATTTTATGCAAATATAATCTTTGTAAGGGAATACATTTCGACAGATCACCAAAAATAAGTCAAACGTAAAATGACAATTTTCTAATCGTTCATGTCCTGTGGTAACTATTAGATGTTGGACTAGGAAAAACTGGCTGGGGGAATTGTACGGAAAGGAATAATACTGAGGTTGATATATGGTTTTAAGCGACAAAACTAAATTATTTATGTGTGACTCTCTGGTATGCCATTTACCATTTCCATCTAAACATTCACGAATATAATTTTTCTTTTACGTTTCATCTGTAAACAAATATACTATTCAAAAAAAGTAGGGGATATTTGATTTTGGGGGCATAATACTAAAATATGCAAATGACTACGAAAAAAGTCACTATAGAACCTAACAGAAGAAACATTTCCAGTTACATGTGACGCCCAAACGCACCAATAGCTACCGCATGGAATGCAGGTGATGCTTGGGATCATCATGGGGGTCCAACCCAAGATTTGCACGACTCTGACTTTGAATGTTACAGTCATTGTGGCATTGAATTCCAGGGTGGAAACATCAGTTTAATTGTTTAAGTGACCAGAAAACAAATTTTGATATACGTCGGCTTACCCAAAATGAAAGGTTACGTGCCCTTGGCATGCTACAGATTGGCACAACACAGGCGGTTGTGGCGCGGACGATGAATGTTTCTCAGTCTGTCATAAGCAGGCAATGGTCCAGATACCGTGATACACAATCTGTACAGGACAGACCACGCTCAGGTCGACCAAGGGCGACAACTCAAGCCCAGGATCGATTTATCCGTACCTTGGCCTTGAGAAATCGTGTCATCACAGCAAATCAGATCAGCGCTCGTCTTCAAACAGACACTGGTGTGAGAGTGAGTGGCCAGACAATTCGGAATCGACTGCATAGGGGTCACCTTCGCGCCCGACGTCCTCGCGTGATCCCTTGTTTGAGAGATCATCACATTCAGGCAAGACGTCGTTGGTGTAGGGATCGTCAACACTGGGATAATCGACGCTGGAGCAATGTGATGTTTTCAGATGAGTCAAGGTTCACTGTTGATTTTTTGGACAGACGTAGGAGGGTGTGGCGTCGTCGAAACGAGCGCTTCCAAGACGTTAACGTCATCAGACATGATCGATTTGGGGGTGGTTCTGTTATGGTGTGGGGAGGCATCACTGTTGCTGGAAGAACGGCTTTACATGTTGTTGCAGGGCGTGTTACAGGCCAGTACTACCGGGACAACATCTTGGCAGTCCATGTTGTGCCGTTCGCACGACGTCATGGCCGCCGTTTCATCTTCCAGGATGACAACGCAAGATGTCACAGGGCCAGGATCGTTACAGGTTACCTCCAACAACAGAACATCACAAAATTACCTTGGCCAGCACTGAGTCCCGACCTCTCCCCCATCGAGCATGTCTGGGACATGCTTGGACAGAGGTTACGTCAACGTCAACAACGTCCTGCCAATGTCCAAGAACTTGCTGCTGCGTTGCAACAGGAATGGGACAATCTGGACCAAAATGACCTTAGACGTCTCATTAGGAGTATGCCACGTCGGATCAATGCTTGTTTGGCAAACAGAGGAGGATTTACCCGTTACTGACTTGGTTGTGATGCTGTGGTAACTTTGCTGTTTGACCCCGGGTATCATTTTACCCTTATAATGGTCAGTCTGTGCCTTACTTAGTCTAACGATCATTTGGAATAAATCGATGAATGTGAACTTCATTTCATTTTGTCATTTGTTTCTTCGTCAGTTTCATTAGGTGACTTTAATAACACTTAAAAATCAAATATCCCCTACTTTTTTTGAATAGTATATTACACATACACCTACATAAACCTGTGTAAATTATTGCATGTCTTGTAACTCTAACATTATGTTTTACCTAAATCTGTATTTAGTACATACAGGAGCTAAACCTCTAACTCAATATTTTCCATTATATTCAAAATTAAAAACACAAATTAGAATTCGATATTGATCAGTTTCAATCAATATTGATGATGCTATCTTGCATCCTAATATCCAATATTTAAGACACAGTAAACATTATATAATCAGTACACGAGTTGTGTATTATATGGTTCGGGTGTCATTGTAATGAACAAAGAAAAACATATCTTACAGGAAAATGCGGAAGTAATTAGTATTGGCTGATTCCTAAACGACAAAAAATAATAAAAACAAATGTGTAAAATTGACTAAGCAGGCCTAAACACTACTTTGATCATTCACGTATTTCACTGAACATAATTAATTAGAAATTACAATAAATTTTAAAAAATTAATATAAATTACTTTATACAAATTCATGTTACATTAACATGTGCTTTTAGACCTATGTCGTCTATTTTAAGGTTCCAAACAATAGAGCCACACAACCTTTAAACTCATAGTTTAATTTATATAAATCTAGTCTGTGTTTAATATAGAATGAGAAACCATTAAGTTACCTGTATGTAAACCTAGTCTACGTTTTAGTTGTAAATCGGATGGGTGTCTAAGAAAGATTGATGAAACATTATGTTTAACCTACCTGTATGTAAACCCTAGGTCTTCATTAGCCCAGTTCGGAGCAGAATAGTAGGACGTTAAACCACATTTCATTTCATTTCATGTATGTAAACCTAGTTGTAAATCGGATGTGGGTCTAAGAAAGATTGATGAAACATGACTATGATTCGGCTCCATATAACCGATGTAAAAGCCATCTACGCGCAAGCGAATTATTGAAATAAAATTGAACCTAATGTTAGTCCCGAAATTACCTTTTTTGTGTCCATTTAAGTTCTATGTAATTTAGATGTGTGTAATATATTACATTATGTATAACCTACCTGTGTGTAAACCTATTCTAAGTTTTAGTTGTAAATCTGGTCTGTGTTTAATACGGAATGATAAAACAGCATCTAACAATGCTAAAGACATCCGACATATCTCTCTGGCATGAAGGTTTCCATTTCTAACCGGCAGTCCAGATACTACCATATAAGCATCACCAATAGTTTCCACCTATGATAGAACATTTTTAGAATGCATTTAATAAATTATTAAATTGATATCGACTAATATACAAAGTATAGGATAACAGTAATCAATATAACTTTAATACTTTATATTACATACTTCCTCATTTATTCCAAACGAAATTTGGTTGACACAAGAAATTATTTTCGAACATCATTTAATGAGAGTGTTACCTTATAGACGTCAAAATTTTCTATAATAGAATCGAATGTTGTATACAGATCATTTAACAGATTCACAACCTGAAAATATAAACGAAACGAAATAAAATTCTGTGTGGTTTAACATTGTTCGTTTCTGCACAAACCTGCCCATGAAAGTTGATATAAGCCATGAACTGTGCGATGACGGACATTCAGCCCGCACAGCGGCATTTCCGCCTAGTCTTATCAAATTGCATCTGCCAAGATTTTCTTTACGTACTGCCAACTAAGCGCACTTCCTGATGAGGCCCACCCTCCAAGGTGAAGTCAGACTGGTAAATTCCGAGAAACTTTCACGATCAATACCGGGATCAAACCCAGCTCCCTCTCACCCTGGTTACAGGTTAGGGACATGGCCCAAAACAATAAATCTAAAATGGCTCCGTATTGTTGCTTCTAATAAAGCACATAGAACAAAAACTTCATGAATACAGGGCACACAAACCAAGATGGTAGAATGAACCAAACTGTGAGCTACACCCAGATTTCCTATCACATATGAATTAAGTGGAAAAAAGTATCACTAATAGATTAACTATTACAATCTAATGGGTTCATCGTTTTGGATAATTTTCGCGATATATTTGGCTAAACGAGACAGACTGCAGAAATTCGGTGAATCTTTGGCTTTGAATATGACTGACATCAAATTTATGCATCTGAGATTTCTTAGGGAATTTCTATAACCTTTATGTAGGCTGTGAAACTACATGTAGTATGGTCCGACATTATTATACATTATTTTAGACATTATTTTAAGTGGAAGAAAATCCTTCCAAAGAGAATAATTGGAATTATTGACGATAATGGCGGCTAGAAGACTGATCAAGGATTTGACAGGTAAAGCGCTTAACAAGATCTTAGAACTTTTATCTTTCTAGACGGTCCTTTGATAGGCTTTACATAATAGTGCATTATTATAGCGACATCCGTGATAGGTTTATCTAGACTGTCTATCATGGTAAACTAGACATGTGCTGTATAAACATTATTGATGGCAAGATGAGTCAGATCTCTTACAAGACCACTACTAAAGACAGGATACTGGGTTACATTTGCTATTTCATAACTTTCAATAAACAAAACAACCATAACAATTTCAAAATCACTAAAATCTACAAACTCATTGGGGTGTTTACAAGAAAAAGAGAAAGGTAAATATGGCATCCGAAACCAGCAAAAACATCACCTTGAATTTTAAAAGGATATGCTGCCAGACAACGAAACATATTCCCTCGCATATCTAATTTTAATGAGAGCATTAACAAGAAAATTTCATACAGATTAAATTATAATTTTTATCGTTTGAGGGTTCACAAGGTTCTACAAACTGAAACCAGGGCTTAACTCTGGAAGTAATTTACAAAAATTGTTGAAATTCAACAGGCTTTTACGTTTTACTAATTCAAATAAATCCATATCAATTTAATACAGATCGGATGATAACTTTGATCGTTCAACAAAGTGAAACGAGAGCCATAACTCTAGATGCAATTAACGGAAATTGCCGAAAATCAAAAGGGATTCTCTAATTTAAATTATGCATATAAATTCCATACAGATTGGATGATAACTTCTGTCATTAGAGCGTCCATAAGGTGCAACAAACTGAAACAAGGGCCGTAACTGCAGACGAAATTAAAGAAAAATATTGAAATTAAATAGGCTTCTTCATCTCACTAATGTAAACAACTTATATCAATTTTAAAATAGCGGCACACCTGACTATATATATATGAAAAATATTTGAATTTTGCAAAATAAAAACATGGTAAGTTAGACGGCATACAACCGTACACAGAGACTAGTCATAGACACATAGAATGACTAAAATTAAATAAAGACAAACCCAGCTTATCAGTAGACACCAGTGGATACACAATTTGGATCACGTGGATTTTCGCATTTTCTTAGAGTGCCGTTCAAAATTTCGCGGCACACTTAGGAAGATCTGACGGCACACCTGTGTGCGGCGGCACACTGGTTGAGAATCACTGCTGTAGAGTGTTCACTCTACAGCAATTATACGACGGCAATATACGACTACATTTCCATGTGGGCGTATAAAAATGGAAATGTCAGCAATATTCTTTAATAATAGTACAATTAAGTCCAATACATACATGCGTCAGTCAGATTAGTGAGATTACATGTAATGTTGACGTAGATTGACAGATCCGTCTCAAGCGTTAAACTTGTCAATACCCAACCTCTAGTCTTTCAATATTGTCTGTGTTTATGGCTTAAAGTATTAGACTTTTACCACAAAAAGATCTTTAACAAACCTGCATTGGTGTACTTTCAGCTGAGAGAGCTGTAAAACCACAGATATCACTAAAATATATTGTTACTTGTTCAAAGGTTTCTGCCGCAACGGATTCTCCCCGTATTAACTGCCCAGCAACTGGTCTGAAAAAGGAAAGTAATGGAACTCTAAATAATTGGACTATAATCTGACATTGTAAAGGAGAGAAATGCGTTATGTATAGAGAAATAAAAGGTCCCTTGATATGACCATTTTATGGATTTAAACAGGAATTTCTATATAGTTTATACCCGAACACAATACTAAGAGTCGTCTGAGTATTAGACGGGTTGAACCAACTATAAGGCGATTGCTTGATTTTGCTTTGAAAACGTATCACAAATGGTTTAGATATATGCTTACGACTACAATAGAGGGTTCTAAGTGCCTTCAATACCACATTAGCAAGTTTTAATCAATAAATATATATGAGGCATTTCTACGATAAACCAAAGTTAAGGTCGTTCATATTATCCTAGTTTGCTGGACTTTGTATATGGGCATTGATTCGAGTCGTTTGTGCTTGATTTTTAAATAATCATTCGAGGATATGCCGGTAAATATAGACATAGGGCATGTTTGGATTATACAAGATACTAAAATGATCGTCTTTTATTATATCATATAGGTACTGTTATGTTTAATATTTTCCGGTTGGTTGTGGGGTGCTGGAAATCTTACTGGCTTTTCCAAGAATCCCATTCTGATGCATGAGTTCAAAGAACATATCCATATCGTTAGTGGTATTATGTTGTTATCTATTTCCGGACAAAAGTTATATGGCGCGGATGAATCCTTTTGAACTGACACACTAGTTATTTTTACCCTTTGTTGTGATATTCAGTCGTGTTCTAGCCATGGTTAATAACATTACGTCGGTTTTTTTCACAGACCGAGGTTTTATTATCATATCCTGTCTTGTTAGCATATATATATAAATAAAAAGCCGAATGCCATGTGTGTATCAATAATTACATTAGGAAGAGAAAAGGCAAAACATATAACTTCATGGAACCTACTTTGGTAACATTAGATAAAGAAGATCTTCTGCTTTTTTCTTCTCTTCTAAATAATCTGATGTTCTTTCTTCTACAAGAGCTTCCAGGTTATTAGCATATTGTTCCATTCTTGATAATAAATTATCTAATATATTTCCCTTATCTCCGTCCCTATGGAAATACGTGGAAAAATATATATAGCTGAATAGCAATATAATATGTTGATATATTTCAGAGGCTTTGTGATATACACAATGTGAATCAAACTGAAGAGAATTTTGAGGTGTGTTTATAGTGAAGATGGGGCGGGGATGGCATAAAACATCATTTACGATCTCCTATTTGTACTATCTGTAATATAAAGTGCAGGAGATCTTTTACTTCTTATTTGGGGTTTATCGTCCGCTTCCATCTAGGATGATATCGCAGACTCGTCTCCGCATTGGATGGAGATTAAGAGATTTAATCGATTCCGTTTCCTTAGATAAAGGTACAACTGCCTTATGAGTAGCTCATAAGTACCACACCTGACACATTAATAAGCATAAAGAAAACCGGAAATCAAATTCTAAGACAAACTTTTAGTGGACTGTTAAAGAAACCTATTAACACTATCAAATCGGGTAAATTAACCCAACAGTAGTTCAGCTTCAAACATCAAATATTGTACAATCCTCTTTATATTATAAACTATATTATCCCTTGTCGCAATCTAGTCTCAACTTGTAATACACATAAGTATAATTAGATCATGATGTTACGGATCAAAGCGGAGGCAGCTTATATAAGCTTTTCGTTAAATGGTAAAACCTGACATACTTCCTTTTTCGCAGAGAAAGTTTCCTCTTATTACGCTGGGATATAATGTAAAATCTAAATTTGCGACTAAAGGGAGTAGCTTTTTCTATGGGCACACGACGAGCCTTAGCTTTGTTAAATCAAAGAAAATGGCGGATGTATGGTGTGATTGCTATGGATCTAGATCTAAATTCTGATTACAGATACACACGACGGGGAAAAGGCAAACGTTTTCTGATTTAAAAAACAAACAAAAACAAATGCATATAGCTGCACCGGGCTCATGAACGAATTTATTGATTTGTTTTCACGACAATTAAACATGCCACAAACTGACCTATTTAATTTTCTTATGATTGATTTTAAGGCTTGACAATCTGGTCTTTCTGCTGGATCCTCGGCCCAACATCTGGTTATTACAGCAGCTAACTCATCACAGGGACAATCATACTCATCTAATGTTGGTCTAAAATAGGGTCTTAGACCATTCCGTACTTTAGTAAATATTTCTGTTAATAATAAAAGAACAATAAATGCATGTGCTTTTTCATTTCATGGTTATTCTCAATCAGTACATATGTTGCCGAGTTTCATTTGTGGACAATTTCCTATTTGAATGGTTTACATGGCATTTATTTCAGTCTTTAATGGAATAACAATACACTTATATCTTTTCTTATCAACTCCCACATTCTTTGACAATTATTTCAACGATTTATCTGGTACAAAATTAAAATGAATCTTACCTTTTGGACTAAGATCTAGATTATGAAGATAAAAGACACCATTTCTATATACAATCTCTTGACAAATTATAGAAAAACTGTACATGTCCCCTTTCTGTGTCCCACCGGGGAGTTTTGTAGACATCCTCAATAATTCAGGTGCAGTCCACAATTTTCCTGGATTATATCAAGATACGTTTATAAGAACAATGGAGATATGAGTGGATGCTATGCATGATCATCTGGTGCAGTACTACTATAGCATCCCCTTCCTCGAGAGAAATACATGTGGCCTAACGTCTATGGCGGGGGATTTGAGTCAAAAGTCAGTGCTATGTTGTTAGTGCTATTACATGTCGAATGTTGCAAATGTTGAATGTAATGTGTAAATTGGACCAAGTCAAAAGTAAAAAATCCTGTAATACTGACAAATACATCGTGTAAAATGACATCTTCTTTTTGTCAGTAAACATTTCACAACAAGCCGAAGTCCATCTACCCAGAACTTTCAACACTGAACTCTGACATCTTCTCATTTGACACTCGCCCTATGTATTGTACCCTTCGACATATGTCTTGTGTATCGTAACACAGAACAAGTAATGGAATTAGCCAGTATGCAAATTAGTTCATACGGTACCTATTTTTAATCACGCGAGATCTAAGCTGTATGACTGTCTCTTTTTGGTGCTGTCATCTTTTGCATTATAATGCTATCCTGTTTATAAATTATATAATACCCATCCATGGGCCATTGTTCATTCTTCTCCTTTTATTTGTTGAGCTATTATATTTTGTATTATGTATACTTATCATGAAGGGCAGGATGGTTGTTGTGGCAACTTTTTATGTCCACATTGCTCATGGACTGTCGCACACGTTCACACAAAACCCTGGCGACTTCGGAGTAAAATTATTCGTAGGAAAGTCTATGAATTCTACGAACAATCTCTTGTGTTATATGTGGAAGCCGAGGTATTTTACTTTTCGTTCTTTACGTAGAAAAAAATCATGAAATCAACACCCGGTTGCAGGTCTCATGCCGGTGGAAATTCCCTGCTTGAAAATTATGTTTTCTTCACGCGAGATGTCACGTGATTAAAAAATTTGCATACTGGCTAAATTCATGTCGTGAGTTCTGTGTTACGATGTAAATGTGAAATGTTGAACGGTACAATACATAGTGCGCGTGTCATATGAGAAGATGTGAGAGTTCAGTGTTTAAAGATCTGGGTAGATGGAGTTAGGCGTGTTGTGGAAGTTTTGAAATGTCTAATGTGAAATGTTTAATGACAAAACGTAGATGTCAATTTACACGATGTATTTGTCAGTATTACAATATTTTGTTAAATTTGACGTCCTTCAATTTACACATTACATTCAACATTGTAGATGTAAAAGCACTAACAACATAGCACTGACTTTTGACTCAAATCCCCCGTCATAAACGTCCACTCAACACAAACAATGTAATTTTGGTACAGCAGTGATATTTAAAAATGAGAGGCAACCAACGAGGTTAAATAAGCAACCCTATTTCTAGTAAAGCATATATTACCAAACACACAACTTGCATGGATGATATACTTTATGATTAATGGTAATAGGACACGAGTTAGCTCACCGCTCCCATCCACCATCATTGTCCTATTTACTACCAACCTAAGTTCCCTCTCAACGGAAATGTTTACATATTCTGTAATGAACTGGAATACCCAAGACAAAAATACTGTCTGTTTGATCAGAAGTAGTTCATATAAGCTAATGATTCTCGTTCTATTATACTTCCCTGGGGTCTTGTACTTTACTTCTCTTTATCTTAACGTTAAAACACATTTTCAAATTTATTATGGATGTAGGTGGCGAAATGGCTTTTAAATCATTCTTAAGAAATCCTCGTTGTCAAAAAGCGGAATATTTTCGTAAAACAAATTACACAAGGGAATATGGAAGTATGTTTTATATTCCCTGAGAGGGTCAGCTATTCTCCTAGAGATACCCATGGGCTTAATAAAATACTCAGAGTTAATACATACTGTTATAAAAGGCATATGAATTTTCATCTTCATCCACTTCGTTATCTTCTCTAAAGTAATGAAGACCAAAATCTGTGATTTTCACCACAAATCGGCTGTCAACGACACAATTAGTGCTCTTTAAATTCCCGTGGCACCTTATTTCACTCGTGTGTAAATACGAGAGTCCCTGTATGGAGCAAAATACATATTTTGTTTTGAGTGAAGTGTTATTCATTTCATACGAGAATTATTGTTTCGATGGAAAATACTGGCGGTAAAATTAATATTATAGTCGCGTCATAGTACAACCGCTACTTAAAGCAATTAATTGAAAAAAAGGTGTAATCCCCAATATGAGGGCTTTAGAAAACCCACTATACGTAATGTACAAACTCCTTGATATACTGATGCGAAATATATAGGATATTGGACCACAAGGTAATTAACTACAAACTATAATGGGAAATAAAGTGCTGGTTTATTTATGGAAAACCAAACAGCACTCTATTCGGTGTTTTAAGTTTTTAGTTCTTAATTCATAATACTTAATTCTTATTTCTTCATTTGTTGTCGTATTTCGATATTTATACACTAAAATTAACATTTGTATCTTAAAACCAATATTTGTTTTACAAATCGGACATTTGTCATATCAGATTTGTAAAATACATTTTATTTAACTTAATTGTATTTTAAAATAAAGATAAAATTTATTTTAGAAAATAAAAAAAATAGCCTACATTTACATTTCATCAGAGAAATACAACGAAAACAAATCTCAAAGTACAAATTTCCAAATACAAATTTTTTTTAAAAAAAAAATTTCTAAAAACATTTCTCGAAATTCATCGAACCGGAACATTTTGACGACATGCGCGGAACTATTGTATATATGCTTGCACGATTCACCTTTATTGTATGGTGACTTATTGTATGCCAGGTGGATTTCGGCTCATGTCGTCATAATGTTCCGGTTCGATGAATTTCGAGAAATGTTTTTAGAGAAATGTTTTTAGAGAAATGCTTTGCAAGATTTGTATTTGGAGATTTGTGTTTGGAAATTTGTTGTTTGAGATTTGATTTTCGTTGTATGTCTATGCTGAAATGTAAATGTAGATTATTCTTTTTTGATTTGCTAAAATAAATTCTATCTTTATATTAAAATACAATTAAATTAAACAAAAATATATTTTACAAATCTGATATGACAAATGTCTGATTTTTAAAACGAATATTGATTTTAAGATACAAATGTTAATTTTAGTGTAAAAATACCGAAATACGACAACACATGAAGAAATAATAATTAAGGACTATGAATTAAGAACTAAGAATGCTGAATAAAGAGCTGTTTGGTCCATATTTATTAACATGCAACATGTCCACGATGGCACTCTCGTCTTTATCATTTTCTTGGTAAAGACGAGAGTGTCATCGTTAATAAACCAGTAATTTTTATTACATATAGTTTTATATATTGAGTAGGTTTGCTGTTCAATTAAATGCCACCCAAAGAAGTAATTACCTACCCTCAATATATCTTGCATGATAGAATATCGAAACATCCAGTCTAATTTTATTTGCTCATTTTCTAAAACATCCTAGAATTTAGAAAAAAAAAATATAAGAAATATTAGTTCTAAAAATGATAATTTATGTGAACGTAATCGTAATATAAAAAACAGTATTCTTAACATGACTTTAATGTAATAATATACGAAACATTAGTTTTAAAGTGATTTAATATGCTGTCTTTTATTGCCCGTGATGTAATATAAGAAACAATTTAAAAAGGATTAAATAAAGAGCTGACAATTCTCACTATAATAGGAAGAAACTAGATATTGTAAAAGGAATATGCTGAACATTTGATTAAGGCCTTCTCATGTTAATAAATGTCTAATTAATAGTTTATATAACATTTCAGACCCAAAGAAAGACCTGCAGTAGGCACTTTTAGATTTTGCATAATTTATGCTTAGCCTTTATATAAGACACATTAGTTTTAAAAAGACATATATACTATTCAAAAAAAGTAGGGGATATTTGATTTTGGGGGCATAATACTAAAATATGCAAATGACTACGAAAAAAGTCACTATAGAACCTAACAGAAGAAACATTTCCAGTTACATGTGACGCCCAAACGCACCAATAGCTACCGCATGGAATGCAGGTGATGCTTGGGATCATCATGGGGGTCCAACCCAAGATTTGCACGACTCTGACTTTGAATGTTACAGTCATTGTGGCATTGAATTCCAGGGTGGAAACATCAGTTTAATTGTTTTAGTGACCAGAAAACAAATTTTGATATGCGTCGGCTTACCCAAAATGAAAGGTTACGTGCCCTTGGCATGCTACAGATCGGCACAACACAGGCGGTTGTGGCGCGGACGATGAATGTTTCTCAGTCTGTCATAAGCAGGCTATGGTCCAGATACCGTGATACACAATCTGTACAGGACAGACCACGCTCAGGTCGACCAAGGGCGACAACTCAAGCCCAAGATCGATTTATCCGTACCTTGGCCTTGAGAAATCGTGTCATCACAGCAAATCAGATCAGCGCTCGTCTTCAAACAGACACTGGTGTGAGAGTGAGTGGCCAGACGATTCGGAATCGACTGTATAGGGGTCACCTTCGCGCCCGACGTCCTCGCGTGATCCCTTGTTTGAGAGATCATCACATTCAGGCAAGACGTCGTTGGTGTAGGGATCATCAACACTGGGATAATCGACGCTGGAGCAATGTGATGTTTTCAGATGAGTCAAGGTTCACTGTTGATTTTTTGGACAGACGTAGGAGGGTGTGGCGTCGTCGAAACGAGCGCTTCCAAGACGTTAACGTCATCAGACATGATCGATTTGGGGGTGGTTCTGTTATGGTGTGGGGAGGCATCACTGTTGCTGGAAGAACGGCTTTACATGTTGTTGCAGGGCGTGTTACAGGCCAGTACTACCGGGTCAACATCTTGGCAGTCCATGTTGTGCCGTTCGCACGACGTCATGGCCGCCGTTTCATCTTCCAGGATGACAACGCAAGATGTCACAGGGCCAGGATCGTTACAGGTTACCTCCAACAACAGAACATCACCACATTACCTTGGCCAGCACTGAGTCCCGACCTCTCCCCCATCGAGCATGTCTGGGACATGCTTGGACAGAGGTTACGTCAACGTCAACAACGTCCTGCCAATGTCCAAGAACTTGCTGCTGCGTTGCAACAGGAATGGGACAATCTGGACCAAAATGACCTTAGACGTCTCATTAGGAGTATGCCACGTCGGATCAATGCTTGTTTGGCAAACAGAGGAGGATTTACCCGTTACTGACTTGGTTGTGATGCTGTGGTAACTTTGCTGTTTGACCCCGGGTATCATTTTACCCTTATAATGGTCAGTCTGTGCCTTACTTAGTCTAACGATCATTTGGAATAAATCGATGAATGTGAACTTCATTTCATTTTGTCATTTGTTTCTTCGTCAGTTTCATTAGGTGACTTTAATAACACTTTAAAATCAAATATCCCCTACTTTTTTTGAATAGTATATGAACGTTTTCTTTTATTGACAGTTATATAAATATACGTCGCCATAAACAAGGAAAACAGCCATATTTGCAAATTAAACCAGTCTGTGATATTAAAATTAGTGTCGTCTGCTACATGTACATCAGCCATTTTTGCAATTTAAATCTGTAATATTAAAATTAGTGCCGTTTGCGACATGTACAACATATCAAAGAAACACAGATGCCAAATCTTCAATAACCATTTCCATACATTGTTTCAAAACTTTAGCCCAATGAATATAAAATGTGTTCTAAAAAAAGCCAATGGTGTTTATATCTTCAATAAAATGTTTGATTGATTGAAATGTACAATCATGTGAAAAAAAAACCTTGCCTGTAGACTTCCTTTAGGACAATATTCAGTTAAAATACAAGCATGGGGTGGATCAATACAAGCTCCAGCAAATCTCACAATATGGTCATTCTGTAGGTCTTTCATCTGAAAAGAAAACATGATTCCATTTGAATGAAATCTAATTTGCAATACACAAATATGTAATATATATAACCACGGACCTTTGACTTGTCAGGGGTAACGGTGGTAGTATAGTAAGTAACCTGGACTAACAGCAACCAGGGGATCTTTAACGTGTTGTTAATTGTTTGTCTGAACGACTTGATACCCTATCTTGCCATGCCATTGATCCTACACCAATGACAAGGAGATAGCTGGATCTTTGTCGGCCAATACCTGGATCGAACACAGGACCTCTTATTTAGTGAGCCACTGTGTCTCTAGCACAAAAAAGGAATTAGGTGTATAAATTTGCAAGTTTCAGATTCCCGTTGGGAGAGATACCATGGCTGTTTATATTACTGATATCCTTCTTATCCTATTTTTTGTTCAAAATATATATTTCATGTCCTGCATATTTCATTATAGTTTTTAAGAATATCAGACGCATTTTATCTTCATCTGTATGCTTAAAATGACATTTTCCAATAAAAAATTATACGTATTTTGGATTTGCTTGAAGGCTCTTAGACTTGGAATACAATTTATTTGCCATATTTCAATTCAGTGCTTTGATGAGACCAGACGTGTTAGTGTAAATATATACTTCTGCTATATCAGCTCGTCATTGTATTTTCATGGAAATCTAATTCCTTAGTTGCCTCACTAAAAGGAAGTCAATCTACCGTCGTTGGTTTGTCTTATCAATAGAATAAACCGGATATTTCCCAGACCCCAGACACATGCTTACTGAACTGTATCACTTCTTATTTGAAGAGAAAGCCCCGTGTTATAAATAAAGAATATGCAATCAACAGAATACTTTTGAATTGCAATCAAAAATAAATTATGTAAAGAACATGCTCCTACAAAAATCCCGTTCTACCATGAATTTATACATTTTAGTATTTTTTTAAAAGGATATTTGCACACAGATATACCGGAAGTACCCCGTACTATCACGAAATGAAATGAAAAGGAGTTTAACGTCTGACATTTATGCGCCGACTGGGCTACGCCGTACAGTGCGCTAGGAGGGAGATTTGCCCGGGCACTGGCGGTACGGCTTAATTTCAATTCTCAGGGGTTCTTGTGCGCACACACCAAAGTGTACACGAGACCTCTGTTTTTGCCCTATCCGAACAACTAGACACTGTCCTTGCCAGGTTCTCCTTCCTGCACCTACTAAGAAGGTGAAAGGACGCTTGAAAATACTGGGGGAACTTTCTCGACTAACACCGGGATCGAACCCCGGATCATCTGATTAGTGAGCCAGTGCCTTACCCACTGAGCCACCTCGGCTCCCTGATCATCACCACGTTACTACCACCTTTTAGAAGACCGCGCCACCCTGACACGACACTCCTGCGCTGTTACAAAGACCTCACCTCGATTAGCTGATTTGTGGTATATGGGGAGATACTCAGCCTCGTCCACTAGTTCCAGCGTCACACATACACCACAGCTTCGCTGCGACCTAAAACAATCCGCTTGTTCGTGTCTCAGAACAGCATCAACGTGGCATGATGTCCTTACTACGCTGCTACGCAACGAAAAATTGTTTTAGATCGCGCCAAGATCGCTCTAAGCGCGGTAAAAGCGTCGTGGAAACGCCAGATATCGTGCTGTGGTCTCTATGGTCGTCAATGTTCGCCGAGTCACGATGTTCAAAAAAAACGTCAAGGTTCTGCGATCTGACCCGGAAGGCTGTGAGAAAGTGGCTTTTTAAGTTTGTAATTTTTTGAGACATTGTCTCACGTTGTGCTCACGTTTGCCGGCGACCTTGTGCATTTTCTTGTCGCCGTAGGTCGCTGACGCCACCCATGTCTGATGGGGACATTAGCCACGACCTCAACACGGAGTCGAATGAAGTTTTTAACTACGTTTTATATTCATTATTTTACGTGGTGAGGGCGTAGCGAGGACTTAATTATATGTGAGGGGTGGGTGTGGGGGTATTGATCGCAGTGTGGGTGTGGCGCCGGCTATGTCAAAACGCTGTCGCCACGCTTTCTCTACCACCAAGCCCTCACCACGTTAATAAAGGCCCCACCACGTTCATGACATAAGTGGACAGGGCGTATGTGTGAAGGGGGTGTTAGACGGATAAATGTATGAAGAATAGTGATATTGCACAAAGTTGACAATTCAAGTATAATAGTAATGCAAGAAATTTTATTTCCGACAAGCTTTCCTATTATAGTGTCGACATTACCAAAAACAAAACAAACTGCCAATTGAAATGATAGAGTGTGTCCCCATCCCATCCACTTAAAATCCTGGCAACGGGCCTGTGTATCTTATATTTGTAGTGTAACATAAGCATATTCCCTTGCCATACATATCTAAATATCGAAATATCGAAACAACTCTCTACAATGTGTCGAGTTTAATCATTTCTGCTAGCCTTGATCAATATCTGATAAATGCAGACTAGGGGTTTAATTACTTTAATTTTCGCTGCTGTGTTGAAATGTTAGCAACAAATGTCGTCCTTGTCGATGTAAAGAAATGAAGTTAAACTTCATATTGTTGCGAGGCATGATAATGGCGACAGGTATACATCGCTTACTCAAGAGTTGTTTTAGTTTTCGTCCCATCAGAACGATTAGACCCCAACACCCCCTCCTCTCCCGTCAAAGGCAAAACCTAGTAACTCACTTTTTTCTTATTTTGAGAAAACAAAGGAAAACGTAATGAATGAATATTAAACGCCAACTCATCCATTGATTTGTCTATTGAGTTACTAGGTTTTGCTGTGGTATACTAGGCAAATGAAGGAAGTTGCTAGGTTGTGTCATGGGTGTAACTGCTTACAAAATCCAAAAATTGGAATATCTAGTACAACAACAGGAGGCACATACCCTAGTAACTACAAATTTGGTTCTAACTCAATTTTGATAAAAAAAAAAGTGAGTTACTAGGTTTTGCCTTTTGACGGGAGTCCTCCCGTCTTGAAACACTGACAAGACCAGTGGTTTATTAAGGTCTTTCGAAAGGGCAACCGTTGTGGGACATAATAAGAACTATGTCTAGTTATGATACCCCTGTACAATGTGTACACCCTAGCAACATACTCAAAGCCCCGCACAAGCATGTGTATGTATATACATACTAAGACACTTTGAACAGATTTATTTTAAGCGTTGCTTTAAAATCGCTGTAAAGGATTAATCATCTAACACCAAAATACAAGGCAAGATCGCGTTCACAAACTAAAAATAAAACTTTATACTAAATGTATATTCACGATGCAACTGATAGATGTAACATGATTATGACCATATAATAAGCTGTTGCAATAATCAATTTTAAATCATTTATTTGTTGACATAGTTGTAAAAATTGGTTTAATATACTATTCAAAAAAAGTAGGGGATATTTGATTTTGGGGGCATAATACTAAAATATGCAAATGACTACGAAAAAAGTCACTATAGAACCTAACAGAAGAAACATTTCCAGTTACATGTGACGCCCAAACGCACCAATAGCTACCGCATGGAATGCAGGTGATGCTTGGGATCATCATGGGGGTCCAACCCAAGATTTGCACGACTCTGACTTTGAATGTTACAGTCATTGTGGCATTGAATTCCAGGGTGGAAACATCAGTTTAATTGTTTTAGTGACCAAAAAACAAATTTTGATATGCGTCGGCTTACCCAAAATGAAAGGTTACGTGCCCTTGTCATGCTACAGTTCGGCACAACACAGGCGGTTGTGGCGCGGACGATGAATGTTTCTCAGTCTGTCATAAGCAGGCTATGGTCCAGATACCGTGATACACAATCTGTACAGGACAGACCACGCTCAGGTCGACCAAGGGCGACAACTCAAGCCCAGGATCGATTTATCCGTACCTTGGCCTTGAGAAATCGTGTCATCACAGCAAATCAGATCAGCGCTCGTCTTCAAACAGACACTGGTGTGAGAGTGAGTGGCCAGACGATTCGGAATCGACTGCATAGGGGTCACCTTCGCGCCCGACGTCCTCGCGTGATCCCTTGTTTGAGAGATCATCACATTCAGGCAAGACGTCGTTGGTGTAGGGATCGTCAACACTGGGATAATCGACGCTGGAGCAATGTGATGTTTTCAGATGAGTCAAGGTTCACTGTTGATTTTTTGGACAGACGTAGGAGGGTGTGGCGTCGTCGAAACGAGCGCTTCCAAGACGTTAACGTCATCAGACATGATCGATTTGGGGGTGGTTCTGTTATGGTGTGGGGAGGCATCACTGTTGCTGGAAGAACGGCTTTACATGTTGTTGCAGGGCGTGTTACAGGCCAGTACTACCGGTACAACATCTTGGCAGTCAATGTTGTGCCGTTCGCACGACGTCATGGCCGCCGTTTCATCTCTCAGGATGACAACGCAAGATGTCACAGGGCCAGGATCGTTACAGGTTACCTCCAACAACAGAACATCACCACATTACCTTGGCCAGCACTGAGTCCCGACCTCTCCCCCATCGAGCATGTCTGGGACATGCTTGGACAGAGGTTACGTCAACGTCAACAACGTCCTGCCAATGTCCAAGAACTTGCTTAGACGTCTCATTAGGAGTATGCCACGTCGGATCAATGCTTGTTTGGCAAACAGAGGAGGATTTACCCGTTACTGACTTGGTTGTGATGCTGTGGTAACTTTGCTGTTTGACCCCGGGTATCATTTTACCCTTATAATGGTCAGTCTGTGCCTTACTTAGTCTAACGATCATTTGGAATAAATCGATGAATGTGAACTTCATTTCATTTTGTCATTTGTTTCTTCGTCAGTTTCATTAGGTGACTTTAATAACACTTAAAAATCAAATATCCCCTACTTTTTTTGAATAGTATATGTCCAATGTTTCATCTTGTGGTTGACTTGTTCCGACAAGCATGTCGTCAGTCTTATCATCATTCAGATTTAACTTATTGGCTGTTCTCCCGATTTTACTGTCTGTGAACAAGATGAAAAATTGAGAATATCAGCGAGCTGAGTATGACCAGCATATACATATTGATTCACATTGCATGTTTCAAGGACACCACTGAAACATTCCTTATAAAGCACAGGCAATAAAGGCCCGGCGACCTCTGTGCCACTTAATCCCTTGTGATGAATCGTCCTTGATGGTAACATACAGGCGGTATCAAAGGCAGCTGAAAGAGCCACTAGGATCAAAGAAGCAATATATTATCATGAGCCACACCTTAGATAATTCTTATTATTGCTGTTCATATTCTGTAGAGCTTATTATTAGAGATGCCCGTAAGTCTTGTTAACCGCCTTTTCAAGAATTATTAAAGCTAGACGCAGTTCTTGGGATATCCTTTTTGCCCAAAGATTATACCACAGTCCCGTTACAAAAAATCCGAAACACCCCTGGGATGAAACTGGCGTTAAATAAATAATGCACAGAACTTTTTATGGAATAAAATCACGGTATTCAATAGGAACAATTATTCTCTTGTATTTATCAAACACATTAATTAACTTTGTTATAACTGGGAGTGAACGGTCCCGATAAGTACAGAGGGTAACTTAATAGTACGAACAATTTCTGTTGAACGTTTTGTTTTCTTGGATTTCATTTTATGTAAAAGGATCAAAGAAATATAACGGTTCACAAACAGTAGACACTAATGTTACATCCAGTGGATTGCCAGCGCCTGGGACGAGGCTAGTATTGCCTAACCACGGCAAAACTGTTATGTGGCAAAGTGTAGCTGCCCAATGATGTTGAAAAACACATTAAAATTTCGTTGATTCCTATAGCTGAGTATTCAGTAGATTAGCCCATGCTGTTATTCCAAAGCTGGGCAAGTTGATTGATATCTTGATGTATATTAAGTTGAGGCTGTCCAGGTCTTAGACTTTCGGTGTTAATACATTTAAGGTAACGACTTGATCTGTTACGACCCATTCGTGTTAATGCTTTGATCTGTAATGATCTGTTCGTGTTAATGCATTTAAGGCCACGACTTATTCTGGAACACGCGTTCGTGGCAATGGATATAGAGTAACGACCTGATCTATTACCATCCATTCTTTGCAATGCATATAGGGTAACAATTTGGTCTGTTATGATCCGTTCTTGGCACTGCATATAGGTTACAACTTGATCTGTAACGATCCGTTCGTGTTAATGCATTTAAGGTAACGACTTAATCTGAAACACGCGTTCGTGTTCTGGGTTGGTCATGTTTCAAGTCATTACCATAAAAAAATAATTATCTGGTATTTGCGGATCACAAACAGTGACAACCTAATCCAGGGTATTCCAGATTTATGTGGTGAACAGTTAATATGTTGGCATAGATAGACCACGTGTCATGTTGAAATGTTGATCATATTAACTTAACTACGTATCTAGAATATTATTACAGGGTTGTAATTAAAACATATAAAAGACCGACAAAGACATGAAAGAGCAAGTATAATTCAATCCAATACTTACTCGTTTAATTTCTATCAGTAGACTCTTGGTTATGGTGATATTGGTTTTGTGAATGGGTTTTACAGCGAGAATGGCACCCTGCAAATAAGAATCAAAGACATTATTACCTTTAGTTATTAATACGATGACGATGAGTTCCTTTTTACCAATAAAGTAGTGAGACTTCATGTGGATTGTAATCATAGTATATACAATGAAATATTTGAAATTTCACGTGATTTTAAATAACTGAACTTTGTAGTTCCACTAACAGGAAATTAATATTACCCCAGATATAAATAAGTTGTGCCATTGCGTATTACACAGGCTTACATTTTGTATATTGATATTAGTTTTGGCATTAATTTTAACCAGTTACCAAATACGGTCTAATGTTTTATTAAACAAACCAAAATTCCTAAGATATTTCGTAACAAACACATCCATGTAATGTAGATACATAGTTTAAATAAATATGACAATGTATTGTAAAAAGGCATTAGGCCTTTGGATAATTCTACTGGTATATAAAAAATAGAATGTTTGATTTGATGTGATGTGTCGATACAGTTATATTCGCGGGGGGGGGGGGCTGTCAAATTATATTGTCAGCAAAAATTTGACACGCACCGGCCTGTTTATCGCGAATATACTGAGCTTTTAAATTAGAGTATTATAGGAGTTTAGCTACCGCTTCTGAAAAATATCGTACTTTGAGAATTACAATTATGTTCTTGGAGAAAATTTTAATTCCTCTTTAACAAATGCGGCGGGTAACATGTTAGTATGCAATATTATACTATGCAGAAGTAGACCCTAAATGGATTTAGATATTAAGCTTATATAAATTCATGAAATAAAGTTTGATATGCTGTGTGTTTATAAATGTCTTTAATTCAATATACCTAAGTGAATGGTATCATTCATCTATGTAATATTAACATTTTCCTTTGGTTTTTAAAGGCCAATGTTGGTGATAGGACTAATAAATGCAAGGGCTTTTTCTATTTTCTCGCCTTTTCATATCTTTTGGAATGTAAATTTGGTGGACTCAAAGACTGCCTTTTAATGTTAAATGAAATGGAGTTCAACGTCCTATTTGTCTGCTTTAACCGGGTTAATAAGCACTGTCTCTTTCGAACCGATAATGCCATCCGTTGTGAAAACAACATTATTAACACCATAAAGACGTTAATAGGCTTGGACAAACTAAATTTAATCAAATTTATATAGACATTCACTTTATAGTCTCGATGAAACAATCAATTGAAAAAAAGAAAGCAAGCTCATCTGTAATATTACGGAAAAGGACAGTTGGTGTAGGCTCTAGAAGTGCAATGACATTTTCATCCTAATGAAAGATTTTAATATCCTGGCATAGTCTCGGGCATGCATTGTTCTGTTGGAAGTATAATTATATTGAAGCTCCATGGAAACCAAACTTTATCTTATGAAAGTGAAATAAAAACTCAGAAAAAATAATGTTGGATAAAAACCGGTTTACAGTAAAGCGCTTTATATAGAAATCACTATTAAATGTACAATATTCCAGACTAAAAGTTTACATTACTTTCTATTGAATTCATGACACCATCTTTTACGTCTTAAAACGAATAATACAGAATGTTACATCTCATGAACATCAAGATTTAGATAGCATCTAACATAGGTTTTTTAAATTTAATAGTCTAGAATACAAGCCAAATAAAACCGCTACGTTCTTATTGCTAGTGTCCGTTTCCGATTTGTCTGTGGTAGCGCTACAGTGTTGTCAAGTTGTTCGGATGTGTAGATAAAATACTTATAATAGGTGAAATTCGATGATGAGTAGGTGTAAACTCAAATAGCCCCTCCCTGGCATTACAAACAAGAGCATACAAACACACATGCTGACGAGACGTTAAATTAACTGCATTCCATATTTATGTTAAATTTAAACATTCTCTTTCAATGTCTTCAATAATGCATCTCTTTTATATGAATCGTGTGTTCGAAGATTGGTTTAATAAAAGCTTCAAATATCAGCATACGAAACCTGTACAATTTAGAAATTCATCCCAGACAAATCTCATTGACTAGAAAACTAATTGATAATTGAAAAAATTTAGATATGACCGATATCTAAGGTATTATTATCAATACATTATCATAAGATAGATTCCATAAGCTCATCAATAACAGTACACTATCTATTATTCGGTTAAAGAACTCGAGAGAATTATTTTTATGACTATAAGCGATTAGCCGCTATACGGAAATAACCCATGTAATTTATTCCAGATCAAAGATCAGGATTCGAGAGGACATTTTGTGTGCCAATACGTAGACAGTTCACTTAGTTTAATACAATAAGGATTACGAAGAATCATTCAACATTTTGAATTGAAGATCAATGGTTTTTATTAGTATATAAATTGTTGCTGTTTAGTACTGCCAGACACCACTATTTCCATTGCAAATTAAATTAAAAATAGAAACGTTTTATTATAATCAGTTAATTGTAAGTTTCGATATTTTCAAGCTCAGCCCACCTTCTAATCTCTTTTTTTTTACTGTAGGTGCAGAATTATCAGTTGGTTGTTGTTGATGTCCCGAAAGAATTTGGCATAATCTGCATTATATTTGGCTAAAATCACTTATAGTTTACCTTATAGTATCCTGTTTTTGTAAAGAGTTGCCTGTTGGCACCATCATTCAGGTGAACAGCTATAGTGTCACCAGAGCATGAACTAGCATACGAATATTTCTGCAAAATATTAAAACAAATCACACATTTATAAAATTTAGGAATTACTGAATTGGGTTTCGCGTATTTTAAGCGAATATCGGGGCTTGAAATTAGTAACCCAATTAGTCCTCATCATAAATAAATTCAGATCATCGATACACTAGATATAGCTTGTCTTCAAATATGCACACAGATCAAAGAGCAGTTGCTGTAGGAGAACAGTTTAGGTGGGAACAGTAGCGTACTTATGGGGCGATGGGGTGGCGAGGGGGGGGGGACTTCTGGTGTACTGCACTCCATTGATTTATTTTCTTTCCGTTACGTTTCAGTCTTAATCATAGTTTAGCCCAGACCCATCCCTTTCAAAAAACACTCCCAACCCAACTATGTGCTATACATCCACTTCTAAGTCTTTTTAGATCAAATCGTAGGTTGTATGTTTAACTTATAATTTCCTGATTATTTTGTTTTCCCGGGGCTACAATGATGATATTAGGACTATGAGTAAAAATTGTAAAAAAACGACCTTCTTTATTATGTCTAAAAGTTAATCGCCATAGTTCTGATACCACGTCTAGACACAATAATCTTTGGTATTCAAAATCTTAAATTGTTATTTCCAAGACATTATTCACTGTGATAATCGAAGATTAAAAGACCAGGAGTCACCAAATAAATTTTTTTTCAGTAAGAAAAGTCATACATTGTTGTGAGAACAGGAAGTGCGACAACGTTCAGCCAAAGCAGCTCTAAAAGTTTCCAGAGAATATGCCCATCTTGATAGATACAAGATACCCCCATCCCGTTTATTGTTCCAACATATCCGAATAAAAATTAAATATAGAGTTTAAGATTATACCCAAGCAAAAGCATTGTTATTTGAAAAATAAAACCAACACTGTGATGCAAAAATTAATTCAAACCGACTATTTTTATATTTTGAGAGTTATTTCAATGGTCCTCAATGTTGTACCTTTAACTAATAATAATCATACCATCTTGCATTCCAGTTTAGTAGTTCCGCAGGACTTGTCCCTAATGCATTTACAGGGAAAGCATGTGTTTCGTTTCTTAGATATTGTTATTGTGGGGGTCCTACAGGCTGAATTATTAGGATTCAATGATACTGCAACCTTTCATCGTTATAAATGGGCATATAGTAGTCTTTCTATTAAGTAAAGCTTGGATTAACCATATTGTCGTCTGAAATTCATGCTGTCCAGAAATATTTTATTTTGTCTCATCTTGCACTTCCACCTAGATAATCTTCCCATCGACTTCTTTATTGTATTTATATGTTATTCCCCATATTATCAGTGCTTTTGTTAGATAATGAGACAAATTATTTGTGACAAATTAGATTTATCGAAAGGCTTATTTTGATTAAGAAGCTATAAATCGACCTACTCTGTTTAAACTCATACGACTCCCTTGTCGCTCTAGTTTATGGTTCTTCTCGGGTGACCCAAAGAGAATGTCGTCCCACTTGACTCGCCAATTCATCTCGGCCAATTCTGCCTCTAGCTTAATGTGTCTGAAATATGAAAGGAAGAGGTAATATGATTGAAATTGTTTCCGATATTGTTTAATAACGCCACAGTTCGGCATCTTGTAGTAAACCGTATATACAGTTTCGTAAATTAATAGGTCGTAATCTGCTTTTAAGCCATGTCACATTTTATAGTAATAATGTATATCAAAGTCATCTATTTGAATGTCTAACTGAGTGAATCGATGAATCGATATGAAGTTACAATTCAATAAGCGACCTGTATAAAGTGTCTTGCCCAGACTTTTACAAACAGAATCAACGCCCACCTAAAGTTTCATCGATCACAATAATACTATGAAATCAAAAGACAATGTGCATAGTAAGACAGACTGGCCGATTAAAGGAATATGATCTGATTATTGTTGCCAGTACATGATTCCAAGTGAACTGATTAAAAGCGTACCCGAAATTAATCAGCTGACTAATAAGAAACTAATCCGCTTTGATTTCGGTCAACACAGAGAAACAAATAGGACGCTCTCTGTACATTTAGGAATGTCAAACGTAAGTCTGTTGGTTTAGGACATGAAATTCAAAACTAAGACAAACTTCCATCTGCAAAACTATAAACACTTAAAATCGAATGCAATTGATGCTTTTATTTTGATCCCTGTTAGAGATGGAATATCGCTTTAAATAACACTGCTTTACGCAATTTTCAATACAAAACGGGGCCATACAAAAAATAATAGAGATATAACATTTCCCTAATCCACAAATACCGAGAGCTACAAGATTACAATATTATCAGTTGCTCTTCGTATAATTTCTTTCATCGACAAATCTTCTTGACATAGGAACTATCAGTTGATCTAAAGCCCGAGTTAAATTACAGTAATTAACTGATCATCTAGGCAGACGATGGATGATATCTAGTTCTATTCTACATATAATCGTTTCAAATCAGGACCTCTAAAGGATAAATTCGATTTTCAGTAAGACATAACTGACACAGAAAGCCACTAGACGTCAGAAAATATCGATATTGGAGATATAAACATATTAGAAAATAAAAATATAAGTCCGATCATCCTATCGAGTGTTTCAATCTCATCACAATTTAATACCGTTGACCTTCTTGTACCCTTTGATTGACATCCACCATTCATACAGTAATTTACACCTTGCTGTTCATCGTCACGTTCAGGAATCCAATTATAGAATGCTGTGTCAAGCGGATTTTGTAATGTACCTCTCTGTTGTTTGTCAATAAAATTAGTAAATGCTTAAGGTTAGATAGTGACAAAAGGAATTTCCTGAAGTAAAATTTCTATAGTATTGTCTTTTCTGCCTTGACCTAGTTAGGGGTAAGCTGGTACTTGGATTAAGCCCTTTTAGTTTGCATTGTCAGACGTTCTATGACTTTATACAAGTATACATCTAAATATACATTCTTAATTTTTGCAATGCATATCATTACCCCGCCACTCTCAACATCTTTACATGTATTCGGTCTAAATATCTTATGACAAGTGAAATGAAAATAGACCCATTGCTAGTTAGATAAAGCTTAAAGTGTTATTGTGCCCAGACAATGTTTGAACTGGGTAATTTATCATTGAAATCTACAAAATAGATTCCAATAAAAATTAGTCGAACACAAAACTTGAAAGTGTATACTTGCTAATTAATTATTGCGTTTATGTTCAGGCTTTTAAGTTGAGCTTTTGTTAGACGAAATAACGATTTTTTTTGTTGAACAAAATTTATGGATGCAAGACTGATTGCGACACAATAAAGTTACTTTTCAATCGATAGCACTAGAGCATGACAAATCTCAAAATTAAAAATAATATATATACCACAAAACTTGGCTATTTTCAAATCTACTGTCTGGGACGACTACACAGCTAAGCTCGTCCAGTAATTGCGTTGACAAATCCAGGTGTTGATGGAACTACATTATATATAAAAGTATTCTCAGAGTTTCCCCAACGATTCAACCTGCGATGGCTGAAAATCCCGACAAATTATTTTGTCTTTTGGTAGATATGGCTATCCATACAAGAGGCGCCTTGTAGTTGGTAGATATAGATATCCATATTATTACGTATTTATTGGAACACTAACATATGGTTCAATTTTATTCCAATAATTCGCTTGCGTGCAGGGGTCTTTAGCAGTGGAAGGAAACCGGAGGGTCCGGAGAAACCCACGAGGCTGGACAGGCGACCATACCCCTTGTCACGTACAAACGGGGAATCGAAACCACGCCAGTTGACTCAATGACAGACCTCATGATGCAGCGCGCACACGCTAAACATTCGGCCATCCAACCCCCCTGAACCCTTTAAGACCATCATTTTTATACGAAAGCCCAGAAGGCTCATTCCAAATTCCAAATTCCAAATGCGAAATTCCAAATTCCAAATTCCAAATTCATGTCATACCGATAAAATAGCAAATTGGCAGCCCCCCTCAAATAAACAAATTAGAATTTATATAAATTGTAAATTTACACAACTAATTACTTCTAGTTTACCTATCTGGGCCGGATAAATACCCGTTCCAAATTACTAGATTCCAAATTCCAAATTCAAGATTTCAAATTCCAAATCCCAGATTCCAAATTCCAAATTCCAGATTCCAAATTCCAAATCTGATCCGACCAATCGGATCAGGTCTTTGCTTTTGACTAATCAGTTAGAGAGAGAGAGAGAGAGAGAGAGAGAGAGAGAGAGAGAGAGAGAGAAACGGGGTTTAAAGTCCACTCGACACAAACTAGGTCATTTCGGGACTAACATATGGTTTTAATTTTATTTCAATAATTCGCTTGCGCGTAGGGGTCTTTAGCAGTGGGAGGAAACCGGAGGACCCGGAGAAAACCCACGAGGTTGGACAGGGCATCCTACTCCTTGTCACGTACAACCGGGAATTCGAAACCACGCCAGTTGACTCAATGACAGGCCGTATGATACAGCACGCACGTGCTAACCATTCGGCCATCCAACCCCCCCCCCCCCCCCCCCAATCAGTTAGAGTATAATAACAATATTCCAGTTCGGGTTTACTTCGGCAGATGTGAACATTTTGGGGCAAAGTTCCTCTGCAGTTGGCAACTCTGCTACTCGGTATCCTAGGACTGGCATTTTTTATTTTGCTACAGCAGCAAATTTGGAATTTGGAATTTGGAATCTGGAATTTGGAATTTGGAATCTGGAATTTGGAATGAGCCTTCTGGGCTTTCGTATTTTTATCCGTGCGTCTTTCTAATGTATTTAGCTGTACAAACATGAACGCTTTAATAATTATGTTATAAAATTATACCGGATTTCGCTGTTTTCTTAAAAGGGCATTCAGTCAAATTGCTCCATTTTTACTTTTAATTTTTTTTCAAAAAATGCATTCCAATCCGCAAAATATCGCAGGTTAGCGATGGCACCGAGAAGTGATCATGGTCTGGATAAGTTAATTAATGTCAATTAACAATTTAGATAACATTTCAGGCCTAAAGAACGACCCGTAATAGACAGATTTAGCTCTTGCATAATGTATGTTTACATCTGACCATTAAATGATGTCAAGTAAATAGTGAATTCAAAATATAACAGTGAAACCCCCCCCCCCCCACCAACGACACAGTCTTTATTACTCACTAAATTAATGTTTTGGTGTTTTGAAAACATTTTCTTCAGAAGTTTGAAAAAAAAAATCTTAAAACCCCGACTTTGATTAAACATGACATCTTCCTGGCAATGGCCTAGCGACATAATCGAACGAGGTGCACAGTAAAAATCACAAGAAACCGAAGAATCATTACTATACTATGACACCAGCCGGTTTGAAATGATATTTTTTTATAAACTGTGATCAGAAAAGGGATGGCAAAGTTTCCAGAACAAGGGTGTGGATACATTTTTTAAACGGTTGATCGATTATAAGGACGAACGGACAATATACACATGTACACGTGGGTGGACAAAAACGTTTTTTTGATTTTCAGATTATAACGTTAGACTATAGCAATAAAAATAGTTTCGATTATCACATGTATCTACATAGTAAATTGTAAGTCATTTCAACAATTCAGTTACTTGTGTAACTAGTACTGTTCGGTTTAAATCTGGTTCAAAGATTTTTTGATTATCAGATGTTGGAGATGGCCTATAGAAGTATGTTGTTTCCATTACCCCATTTATCTACACAGTACATTGTGGGTCATTTTAAGGGGATTTATCACAATTCAGTTACTTGTGAAACCAGAAATGTTCGGTTTCAACACGGTTCACTAGGCAGATAATTAGTGTTTAACTATTCAGGCCTCGTGGAATACAAACTAAGTATGGACTAATCACTGATTAGCCCACAACTGATCAGGCCTAAACGCTGATTATTTTATGAACGGTAATACGGCCTTCTATGTACATCAATACAGGTCATGTAAAAAAGCATCAACACGTCTCTGACTAATTGCTTTCCCTGAATGTAATTTGTCTATAAAGCAGTTCTCTCTTTCTCCCTGTTACCCTTTTTGCATGTCAATGTTTGTTGACCTTTTGGTCTAGCAATGACGAAAAGTGTTTGACATTTTCTGCAACGTTTTAGTGAATATTTATGACTTTGAGACGAAAGGATTAGGCAGTACGCATACAAGAAGTTGATAAATCACAACCTATATATGCCTTTAACAGAGCCTATAAAGAATAAGATTATCAACACCCTTCAATATTTCTATCAGATGATTGTGACATATTGGGCTCTTTGGTGTGTCGTAGATTAAGATCATCGGAATGTTCAAAACGCAAAGGAATGGATGTATGGATTATGAATGTCAACCGGGGAGGGTTACTAGTTTGAGCCCACTTGAAGTAAGAAATGATCCAGAGCTGTTAAAGTCTGTACGGGATTTCCTGTACATTACATTGGTATCGAAGAACAACACCAATAACTAAACAAAACGTAATCAACGTCTGATTATAATTTAATAGGGAAGAAAAGTGATGATTTGTTCTTGGGATTTAGAATGGTGGCCACGAGTCAACAATGCAGACTGTTTTTATTTCTGTTCAAACTAATCAAAGGGATTAAGAAAACTATTTGCGTTCAGCTTTCATTCTGGAAATAGAAACAAATGATGAAGTCTCCAAAAGAATAGGGTTGTGTCTGTGACGAATGTAACTTTAGTTGATTATTTTCTAATAATAATTAACAAAACGATTGTCCAAGAAGAGGAAGTAACATACCTGTATATAAAGAAGACGGTAACCAAAACAATAAGTAATATAGATCCCAATACTATTATTACTATACCATATTCTGGAAATGGTTCTAAAACAAAAATATATGTACACGTAAATTATATTAGTTATCAATGTTTACTCTCATGTATTCAGGATAAAATATTAATCAAAGATCAACTTTCTCGTCTCAAAATGTTTTGATAACGAGACACGACGAAGGTGCACTGAATACTATATTGCATCTATTATTGGAATCACATCCACTCTGGTTAACAAATTCGAATCTGGTTGCTCCGTTGTGAAAGTTTTCCTACATATTTGGTGTTTCAGACCATATTAAAATATAATGCGCATAAATCTATGGATGTCTTGATTGAAGTAATAAGACAGAATCTTAATGCAATCAGACATTTGTATATTTAAACAAAGTTTCAGATTTATACAACAAGAGCATTGCTAATGCTGCAATATACGTCCACATTCCTTTCCTTGATATGGTACTTTTTAAAATGAAGAAAATGAAATAAGAAATATCTGTAAGATGACAAGAGGCAAAGAAGGCTAGGCGTTGGTTTTGTTTTGCCAAATTTACAGATATATTAACAAAAAGGTGGGTGTGACACTGCCCCAGGGGGTCGGGGCATTCAGAATTGCAGCCTGTAGACAAAAATACAAAAATTGGGCGTGGCTCTGCCCCTGGGGGTTGGATATGGAAGAATATAAATAGGTACCACCCTGTTATTGAATGATTGATATGCTGAATTTGAACAAAATCTGTTATTATTACAACCTATAGAGTATAATTTACTGATAAAAACTAACAAAAAGTGGGTTTGGTACCACACCCCTGGAGGTCAGGACATGCACCAAAATAAATAGTTGCTATCCTTACAGTATACGGAATTTAATATGTCAAGTTCCAAGATGATCCATTTAGAATTATGGCCTGTAGGCGACACACAGACACACAGACCAACACACAGAGACAGGGGCGGCCGCAATATACGTCCCCGTTATGAATGTGATTGTATAAAAATAAATCGAACTTCTTTGCTGAAGGGGGAAAGAGAAAGCAGGAAACCAGAATAGATAATTCTGTTAACAAGCACCTTAGGCCAAAAAAAACCCCAAAAAATGTTCTGTTTCCAGTAACCTGACGACTCTTAAATTTTTTTATTGTCAAGAGAAATAAAAATCTTTTTGTACAACGAATACCGTTCAGAATACTCTAAGCCTACTGGATTCGTTAAAATGCCTATACTTTTTATTGCTATAAATGAATATAAATGTCATTGTTCTAATTTGAATCTGCATTTACCGATCGGAATAGGTGGGTACTGTACAGAGAACGATTATTAACAACTGCCATTATATTGTTGAGGCGAGATTGCTAACTGACGTGAAAATCGAGACTACATGTTTCGTATAGATTTACCACTGCACATTCCTTCTAATAAGTAACGGCACGCAATTGGACAAAAACAATGAATGTATATATTTCAAACCGGTGGATAGGATCTGTTCGATTGGTATTTAAAACAAGACAAATAAATTTATTACGCACCTATTTCGTGCGACGGTACGATATGATTTTTCAAGTTTTCATCGCGAGTTTTTTTCCCTTGAACAAAATGGCCTCCCTACGCAATTTGTTTTTAGCATAGAACAATAAAAAAGTCCATTTGCCCCCTAAGAGAATATTTAAATCATAATCTAGCCTCTTGATACATTTAAAACAAATATCCAAGAACTCCATCCACCAATCTATTCGTGCTTCATGTTCCCCGGTGCCGACTCAACCTAACAAAAAATTGAAGATTTTCGCACAGAATATTATGCTACGGTAGATATACTAGATCTAACAATGTAACATTAAGAAAAAGAAAAAAAAAACAACCCTACCTACCGACCCCACCCTATTTCACATTGTTGGGCTGTTAACGGTTGTTAATTAAATCATGCCAATTTTTTTATACCCCACATTGTCATATGCACGTAGTGTCGTCGCCCCTGATGAAACTTAAAATATATGTTTATATCCCAAGATCTTGTTTCCTTTCGCCATTGACGCATGTCCGACCATATCATGGATTATTGCCCCTGATTGTACGAAAAATCGCAGTTTTAGCTTGTTCTATGTCCATCTCTTGGAAAATGTGGCAGTATCTTGCATGGCAGCCGCGTGTTTTAATCTTTGTTACGGTTGGTGTTTGGTTTGAACATGTATTTAGTTGTAGCATCAGCTGTAGACAACATTAATGTTCTAATATTCGGTTGATTCTTTCCTACATATACTCTTCAAAAAAAGTAGGGGATATTCAGAAACAATAAAAAACTGCGGAAATGAAATGCCTACACATGAACATAAACAGTTCATATGGGTGGCTTATCTGACGGCCCCATTTCACTCGCAAAGAGATACACTGTCAAAAGTGAAAATGGACGTTTTTGATTTCTTTCTTAAAAATGAGTAATTGCTCCACCAATCCTCAGACATTCAGCAATTCGTCGTGGTATGTTCCTAATCAACCGTCCAATCACGATTTGGGGCAATCGTGAAATCCAGAGTAAATCTGGACTCATCTGAGAACATTACACGCGCCCATCGACGATTACCCTAATGTCTACGCTGCCAACCCCATTGACGCCTGTTTGCCATGTGCTGGCGGTCATCGCGCATGAAAATGGGCTACATATAGCCGATTTCTAATCTTTTAGGGTGTAACTCGAATTCCTGTAACTTGGTACAAGTTTACAGAAAGTTGATTGGCCGTTTGTCCTCGATTTCGCAGGGCCTGTGTACGAATGTATCGATCCTGGGCTTGTGTAGTGGCTCTAGGACGACCTGTACGAGGTCTATCAACAATATTGTGTGTTTGTTGGTACCGGTTCCACAGTCTGCTGATCAAAGACTGTGACACATTAAGCATGTTGGCTACTGCTCGCTATGTAGAACCCATTGAAGCATGCCAATAGTACGTAGACGACGTTCATCATGTTGAAGACGTCTCATTGGAAGTTAACCGTAACACACTAAAGCAAAGATACGCTAAACAGTAAATCTTATGCAATAGAAAAGCAAACATGGATAGGATAATCCAGCACGCGGCAGTTTTCATCAACCCTTCCTTGAAGTGCCATATTTGACAATGAACCCCTCCCATGTGCATGGCGCTACTGCGTGTCGCACGTGTAGCTCAGTGGTTCTGTTAGGGCGATACGTTCTTCATCTGTGAACATACTGTCAAAGCATGTCAAGTGTCCATGACTATTTATCATATCACAACCTGCATTGGTAATTGCATTTCAATATCCCCTACTTTTTTTGAAGAGTATATAATAATATAGTGTGTTGTATTAATATCATTCGATACTAATAAATAGATACAACCCAAGATAGCGAATTATTACATGCAGTTAAAATAAACTGTATTGTGCTGTATTAATCTATTTTTATTCGATACTAGTGAATTAATATAAAGAAATGGAATGTTTATGATAGCCTTTTTATATTATTCAATTTATTCTCAAGTATATGTTTGTACCAAAAATCATATGCAAATGCTGTATTACCTTCTGGTGGGCAAAGCGATCCATCAAAACCACAGACAGGTGTATCGGGTGGTGGACCTGTCCTACCTCCAGCCCAGTGAATCCTCTTTCCAGGTACTGGTTCATATTGTTTCTTATTACCATAATAGTTAGCCACCACCTAGAATATCATGATTGTACATTCTAATTTTTAAGGTTAAAAAGGTTTACACAAGTATGTCATCTCCCTTAAGATAGAAGCGGGGGCAAAACACCATCCAGTTACTTAGTAAAATGAAGGTAAATTATGTTCTGTTACATCTGGTTATCCTTTTTATAATCCCAAATGAACATTTCATCTTCAGCTTCGAAGTCACAATTATTTAATGTCTCTTCATATTTATTTTTCTTATTAACCTCGATAAATTCTAAGAAAAACCCACAATATTTATTGCTCTCATATAAAATGGTTATTATCCCAGGAGAAAGTTTTCCGTGTTAAATATATCATATATGTATACATAAATAAAACATACGTTCAGTTAAAACATTCTCTACTCTACTTGATTCTGACATGATGTAAAGTGGAGAATTTTTTACCTGGACGTATTTTTTTTATTGATTTATGTATTCATCTACCGTAAAGATAGAAATACTTCTACTTTATCCAACCTCAGAACGAAATTTGATAATGTTCAATTCATTAAATCACAAAGACAGCCACCTAATCTCAAACGCCTCCTAACCAAAGAAAAATTCAATTCATCTATCACAAGGACCGGCTTTTATGTATCTAAATGCGCGGATCTTCGATGTAAATGTTGCGACCATATTACACCAAATAACAAATACAATTTTCATAAGTTTACGTTTAGTGTCAACGACAATATGAATTGTGACACAAAAAATCTCATATATGTCTTGACTTGCAATGCTTGTCTAAATTTCTACATAGGGAAGACGTCCACGCATCTACGGGATAGAGTACGCAACCATCGACGGGATTGTAATATTGAAAATGGGCCCTTATTTGTAAATAGACATACCTTTAAATGTGCACAACACCTACAAGTAAAATTCCAAATTTTCCCTTTTTATAAAATGAAAGTCGATGACACAACGAAAAGGAAATTAATGGAAACCCATTTTATTAAAAAATACCTTCCTCGACGTAATAGTCAATAAGTAACAATTGGCCATTAGCTTCATTAATTTTCTTAAATCTATCCCATGATTATCTTCCACTCATTGTTTCTAAATTGAACCCATACACTACAGATTAACACAGGTGTATACATGTTTTCTATAAGTAAACGATATACTATGTAACCATAGACAATGGTAACTATAGTCAATTAAAACCACAGTGTTACTCTGTAAATATGTATAAATATACTATACTGTCCATCTCTATACAATGACATTATTTATGAATAGTCCCAAGACGGACGAAAAGTACTTTAAAATGTTAAAATGTTATTAAACCAGTGTTGAAATCAGTTTTTTGTCGGCATACCTTTTATCTTTTCATCGTTTACCGTGAAACAAAGTAGTGCAGCTTTACGGTTGTGCTAATATGTGCTAATATATGATGAACATTGGTATCAGCAAGAGAATGAACAGAATCATTCTTCTCAAGTATTTGCATTAAACAATAGAAATGAAATGAAATGAAATGGGGTTTAACGTCCTACTCCTAAACTGGGCTAATGAAGACGGACATACGCCATACAGTGTGCTATGAGGGAAATTTTGCCCGGGCAGCGGCACTATCGCCTACTCTTATATCGAATTCCAACTGCCAAGGGATCTTTTACGTGCATTCCGATGTATACACGGGACCTCGGTTTTTCGTCTTATCCGAAGGACTAGACAGCTGTCCTTGTCAGGCCCTCCGTCCTGCATCACTGACAAGGGGGAACCACGCCGGAAAATCTGGATGAACTTTCTCGGCCAAAGCAGGGATCGAACACCCGACCTCCAGGCTAGCGAGCCAGAGTCCTACCCACTTAGCCACGTGATCCCCTTAAACAATAGAATGTTTGAGGAAAGTGTCTTTGTCTTTGGATTTAGCAAGCGTCAAAACTAATTCATAATATTTACCTCAAACTGATTATTATTAGGATTTAAATCTAACAAAGAATAATCCGCGTTTCTGTCGCCATTTGCATCAATACTCACTGTTCCAGTAATACCTAGAAAAAGCAATTAAAAACTTTTCAACTATATGTCAATGAATAAAAATGTGTATGAAATAGCAGGTAATTGTAAAAGTCACTGTTTTAGTTTCTGGATTAAAAAATATGCCCTACAAAATGCGTTTTCTAAAACACATTTTGTATTACTCAAAGTCTCAAAGATAAGGCACTCCGATTTTGGAATATTATATAATTTTAATTTTAGTCGGATCTATTTTAGAAATCAGCACTACAAGGTGTAAACTTTATTACCTTCAAATGTGCGATTCCACATGCGGCTGGTAATAGCAGCACCGTCAGTAATAGAGCCATTTGCCTCCAGTGTTTCATTAAGGGCGGTGGCGTAAAGAATAACGGCATCGTGGAATGCACCGACAAAACTGTTAACCTGAAATGAAAAGTGTATTATATAACATTAGGGAACCATGGTGATTATGCGTATCGTGCTTAACAAATTCAAACGGTGCCGTATACCGCTTCTGATACAAATCTTGCACGTATGGATATCTCTAGGATAGCATAAAGTAGATTTTTACCCTCATTTGCAGTAATCGAGTAGATTTATCTGAGACCATTGTATTCTAGTAAAGGCCCTTAACCGTCGATGCCTCCTATACAAACCCATTCCAGTACAAACAATGCATCAAATCCACCGACATTACCATACATTTTAAGAAAAACAGCATTAACATCCGATTAGCGGCAATAAACGTCCTCTCTAATGTTGATTTAATAGGCGCTTAATATGTTACCACCACTGAGAGAGCATCAGTGACCACGAATACGTGGCCACAACCTAGAGAATTCTGAACTTAGATTATTCCCTTTGCTATTTAAGGAATTCTGTAATTTAATAATAAGGATGTAATTAAATAATAGGGGGAAAAGTACTAAATCATTAAAAAGCAATATATCAAGATAGTCAAACTATTCACTTCTTTCAAATGAATAAGAAGATTGTCAGCGAGTGACTTTTACAGTAAGAAAGAAAAAAAAAACCTCTTTCTAAACGTGTTTCGCGTTAGTTCCTGATTTTATTTTAATATTCAATCTTATCTAGTCCATCTAACTTTTGAAGAACTATGCTTTTACAGCACTTTTCGGGTTTTTATCAGACACTTATAATAAAATGTAAGTGGGGTGTATAAAAGTAATATGAGATAACAATGAGATATATTTAATGTTCTAGGGCATCAAAAGCAGTAATTCGCATGACATCTTACGACACATGGCGTTCGCAAATTTTTCGTGAGATGTGAGTTATTGAGGCTGCATTGTCTATAAGAAATAATATACTTTAGAAACATAATGTAGTTCACTTTCACCAAAATTTCACCTAATGATCAAAACTCCAATCAATTGCCTACATAGACTAAGGTCTTTCTAAAGATCGTTCTTGAAACTCCTTGAACAAAAACACGTGTACAGCTCGCAAATTAAAAGCTAAAACGTCTATACCTCAGTGATGACTTGGCAATTACATTTCAAATTTAGAATTCAATCTAATTTGAACATCACCGATGTAACTTTAGTTAAATCACGTCAAATCGAAAATTCATTTTCACACACTGCAGCGAAGATCTCAAAAGTGTTAACGCCTTTTAAAAGTCGGAGTTTGAAATTAATCTCATTTAAATCATTTGTGAGATACTCTTAATCTAATCAAGTCTCAAAGCTTGGATTTTCCGAATATCAATCCAGAAACTATGTGGGTGTTTTCTTGATAGTGACGTCAACAGCGTAAACTCATTTTTCCAAATTTCCTTTTACTTAAATTTGTATATATTATTTAGTTTATTCTACATATTTAAGACCCACACAAATGATTTGAAATGAAACGTTTTTTTTCTGAAATATGTAAACCAAAACAGGTTAGAAATTCTCAAGGTGTACGTATATTGTAGTTAATCTGTCAAACTGGACATTTGGCCAGTACCGCAAGTGATTTAATCAAATGTCTGAAGTTCCCAGTCATTTGGCTAAGCTGTCTTATTTAATTTGTGAAACAGGACTATCATATAGCTGGTGCTTCGATGGACTGGTACATACAGTTTCCAATATTAGGACAGGATTTAACTTACGAAAGTAATAAGATAACGACTCCGCAAATCCTCAGTGGTCTGGTCGGTTTTCTTTTAGACCCCAAAAAGGTATGGAAGGATAACGTTGCCAAATTATTTCAATGTTCACGGTGCAAAATATCAAATTCCAACTGCCAAGGGATCTTTTACGTGCACGCTAATGTGTACACTGGACCTCGTTTTTTTTGTCCACTAGTCCGGACTGTATTCCGTATGCAAATAAGCTTCGTCGTAGATACTATATAAGGTATATGTTCTAATATGCTAAGTTCTATTATGCATTTGTCTATTATGCAAAATGCAGAACGGAGAAGTGTAATGTGCAAAATAACTAATATACTGTATTTGTATTATTGAAAAGTGTACTTTGTATTTTAACACTGTGACAATGATATTGTGGAGGAATGGAAATTGCAATTTGTAAAACTAAAATACGTATTTTTAACTGCTGACATATGCAGTTTGTACAGTGAACATTGAAATAATATTGGCAATGTTATCCTTCCACAAAAAGGATGATATCATTTGAACTTGAACAAATCATCAATAATGCTTGATTAATTGCTACTCATTGATTACGTTACTAATTCCTAGTGAAATGTCAAGAAGCGTCAAATACCTAGAAAACGTCCCATGGTATGTTCACAATGATAAGGCAAATGCCATCAGCCAGTGAGCCCCTGTTGCTACCGGTCATGGAGTGAGGGATCTCGTGTTAAATAGTAGTACAATAGCACACGTGGTTCTGTGACGTTGTTTAAATCCCTGTGCATCCACTGCCAACGTATTGTGCCCAAAGACTTCACATCACGTGGTTAAGTTGATCTAGCTGACATACAGTCCCTACCCGAATTGGATTCTCGGATATTAAGATCCCCTAACCATGTTCCCCGTTCCCCCCACCCACCAAAGAGAGCCACTAAAGTTACAAAGATTACCACAAGTAGTTGTAATATCAATTCACCACGATAAGAAGTTAAACAACTATATTACCAACTTGAAGGTTTCGTGCAGAGGGAAAATAAATCAAGATGAAACATGACAAATCAAGATGTCATCGTACCGATTAATCTCAGGCCCTACATGGTCGTCCATGTTTTAATATATATCAATACAATAAATGACAAACCACTGTTTAATTGAGTAGCGAGGTCACGGCCCTCTTACCACTAGTCTTTTCCTCCACTCCTACTTATCTAGTGTTATCACTGTCCATGTCAACTCACCGTCGATATAAAGCTGAATTATCTGCTGTAAATGTGGACACAAATCAAAGGAGAGTGACCTTACTAAATCAAATGGCTAAAGCCATGGTCAAAACAAAATAAAGTGCGGTTTAGATGTTATAATGGTAAATAAAAGAAAGCCAGTCTTGTGACATTATGAACCTATGCAGTACAAAGTTGCTGTCCCGTCGATCGCCCAACTATTTATCAACTCATTCGCAGAATTATTGCCCTTTCCATCGAAACTCTGTAATCGACCCTCTTACAAGTCAATGGTTTTGGGATTGTTTTTCAACTTTGCTCGAATTGACCGTATCGAAATCCAGGGTCACCCATCATTATTTTTTAGGTATTGTCATTGGTAAACAGTTTTTGAGATCTGAACTTTCTTGGTTGGATCTAATGTCAGATAAATAGAGAAATGCATAGAATAATGATCACCAGAGCTTCATCATCTGAAATCTGAAATCTATCGCTTTAGTAGGGTATGCCTGCTCTCTACAGAACATGCGGTAACCATTCTTAATTAAGGAGTTCACATAGCTAACATAGTTTTGTTTAACTTGTGTATCTGTAATCTGTACAACATGGGTTACAAATACAATTTTTGTTTGCTCATTATCTTTAGTTATTAACAACATTTTCTATGAGACAATGGTTTCAGTGGGGATATAATTTCAGAGATTGTTTAGTGTGTAGAAAAAACTACCCCAAAGCAAAATCGTCTTATTTGTAGTTTTAAAATACAAGCGAAATTTCATTTTGTAATTCTTGGATCCAGACAATAACTATTTTTATTCAAGTCATAGCGAACATTTATCTTGTGTCGTCAGTCAAGTCAAATCTTTCCTAAACTGAACAAACAAATTGCAGATACACTACATACATTGTTCCGACGTTAATTAGATTTCAGTAGACTAGAAAGATAAAATGCCTAACAAAGTTGCATTGTCTAGTCATTATCCGATTTATTCACGCAAGCAGTGCTAGATGACGTTCTCGACACCCTTTCTGTCTGTTTGTTATTCATGGAAGAAACGGTCATCTGTAGAGATGAACACTGATAGGTTAAACACCCGAATCATATCCAGTTTTATTTATTATCCTTTCTGACTTTACTTGGCCGTAAACAAGAATTTTATCCTGACATAAGGCGACTAAATTCTAAGCTTCTTAATACCCTAACATCCCCTTCTGATAAACACATGACATTCCAGTAATTGTGGAACTATAAATTATAATATAACCGCTTCCTTCTCTAATATGCCCAATTTCAAATACCTTATTAAATGATACATGAATTCCGTCTTTTATATCAGAATCATGAAAAAAATAATAAATCTACATCAGATTTGAAACCTATTTCAGTCAACTACAAAATGAGATCATCGATGTAATGCATAACACATATTTTACACAAGAAGTACCAAACAGCATCTGTTGCACTGGCATTCCACATATTTTTACGTTTGGTTTATTATATTTTATTGTGTAAGGTTTTATGTATATAATAAAGCGATGAAATACTATTTTGAGCAACAAAGCAACATAATAGTCCATGAAAAGACATAAAATAGCTGGATCTCTTAGATTTTGATCATGCATCGACCAATGAAACTGCTTAGACATCCACCCAGTGAACATCTACATCAAGTTTAAACATTCTACCTCAATTAAAAGCAGAGTTGTTATGTTCCAAAGTCTTGACCAATCAAATTGCTTATTGCTCCTTAGCCTAAGCAGAAAATTATCATCATCGAACTTAGTTGAAGTAATGATAAATGAATCTATACTCGGGGTTTCATCACTCTCACTTAATTAAAACCAAAGTTATCGTGCCCCAAAGCATCAACAAATCAGATAGCTTATCTGTTTACAGTAAGCAGACAATGTTCATCACCGAACTCCATCAGGGCATTCACCTATCGCCTACACCAAGTTTGAACATTCTACCTCAATTAGAAGGAGGGTTATTGTGTTCCAAAGTCTCGACCAATCAAATTGCTTATCGCTCTGCTTACCCATAGTGGAAAATGCTCATTATCGAACTTAGTCAAGGTATTGATGTGATAAAACTATAT